TTTGTCGAGGTGTTAGCACAGATGAAAGTAGTTGGGCAGTGGCCGTGATGGTGACTGTTTTTGGAGATGGCAGTAGCATAGAAAGAGGGGTCTGTTGTCTGCCTTGTGACCTCGCTGACCACATTCCTTTTGGTTTCAGCTCTTGTCTCAGTATCTTGGCCACGAATATTGTCCAGAGCCTCCTCAAAATCAGCTATATATATAATCAGCATCTGAGGCCTTTTCTTTGAGTTGCAGAAATACATTACCCTAGTGGGAAACTTGCCTGCTCAACGCTCCCCGGTGTGTTAAGCTTTAAACTTGCCCTCTTCCCTCTCCTGCCCAAAGTCCCACTGTCTGGCTGCTGAGGGTGGGATGTGGTTCCTAAGCCAGATACATCCAGCACACAGGGCCAGATGGCCACTGGATTCCAGGGATGGCAGATCCAGGGACACAGATCTGGAATGGAAGCCCCAGCAGGGTACCAACCCTTTCTTCACTGCTTGGCCAAGGCCCTTGGTATCAGACTGTGAGGTATGGGCTCCCAAGTGAGATGGTGGAGGTGGGCCACAAGGTCCCCACTTAAAGGAAAGCCCCCACGCAGGGTATGTCTGACCCTCTGGCAAGCAGCCCACCCTCAAGGGGCACCTTACCAGGCAGTCTCTGTGAGTCTAGCCATCACCACCACCCAAGCCATGGGGCTGTCTGTTTTCTCTCTCAAACTCTAGGCCAAGGATGGATAAAACACAGACCCTCTCCTGGTCCTCTAGGAACTACTCAAGTCAATAAGATGTCTTGGCTAAGCACCTTACCCACATGAGGTATTTTCTCATCAAATTTCTAAACCAGGTCTCTCTACAACACTGTGAAGAAAGTTACTGCTTCCACTTTACAAAGGAAAGACCAACTCACCCAACTCACCCAAGGACGATGAGTTGGTCTAATAATCCAGGTCTTCTGTTTCTACATTCAGTTTTTTCACTCCACAGCTGCCTCCCAGGTGGGATAGGCCAGCATACTCAAAAAGAAGTTTGCTAAAGCCTAAAACAGGTGTGAGACACTCACAGTTAGTTCTGCTTCCAGAGGTTCTGATGAAGCTGTAGAAGCCTCCTGTGCAAGGCCTTGCCTTGCCCCAGGAGTACCTTTGCATCCTGCCTGATGCTGTACCCAGAAACCCCTTCTTCAAAGCTGAAATGCCCTTTCCTCTCCTCCTCCCTTCTCTGCCCACAGGCCCCCTGCCAGACCCCCTTCTGTGGCCCTTGGAGAAACAGTATATAAGGACAACATATCCCAGCCTCCGCCCAGGGGCCTGTGCCCCAGGCAGGAGCCATTTCCGGTACCACACTGCCCCCCACTGTAGATCTCTCAGCTCCCTCCTCGTAAATGGGGCTCAGGGTCTTTTTCCTACCGCTAGATCTACCCAAATCCTGTGCCAAATCCAAGCTCAGCGTCTGAAGGATGTTCCATCCCACCCCCACATCTCTACCCACTATGAACGGGACAGAAGTATCAGGAGATATAGAAATCCCTAGAGATGGATGAAATAAGAGGTGTGGCAGGAGAGGTCCCCAAACTTATCTTCATACACCTAAACAAACAGGGGCTTTTCTTTCTTATGTTTGTGTTTAACTTGCACATGTGCCCAGTGTCTCCTGGGAGTGACTGCAAGTAAAACGAGGTGACCTGACTGCCTCTGGATGGTTAGGGAAAGTCCCAAGGGACTGTAGCTATTACTAGCGAGGGTTGGGGTCCCTAACCAAGGGAGGGCTTAAAGACTCAGACACCATATCCAGGGGACCAGGCGAAGGCCAGTGCTAGAGGACATGGCACTATTGGCACGTTTCATTACTCACTGTGCCTTCTTTCACTCTTCTAAGTATCCCAGGTTGACTGCCCCCCATAAACACTGTACAGCTGCTGACTCTGGTCTCCAGGCTTTGTAGAAGGGGAAATGATGATGTGACATCTGACAGTTTGCAGTGAACTTGGTGTCTAGAATTCTGCTGAGTGTTCAGTGAATTTCCCACAGAGAGCTGCTTTCTTTCAACCTCAGCTTTTGGGGGGGGGGGGCAGCCCTTTTAAAGACCAAGCTGAGTAGCAGGATACTACTAAGCACCTATTATACCTGAAACATAATATTTAAGCCAGGAATGACTAGGTATACAATGATTTAATGCCTTTATGAAGTTTATATTCATGGGCAGAAATACAAGAAAATAATCAGTTACAATATGCAAAGAAAAAGGAAATAAAAAGAAGAAAATTTAAAAATAATAAAAACAAGTAAGCAAAGGGTTGTAGGAACCTAGAGGAATCTGAAGAGAAAGGCTTGTAGAGGAGATGATAGTTGACCTGAGTTTAAAAAGAAAAGTTTTATATATTTATTTACTTACTTACTTAAAGTGCACTCTATGCCCAATATGGGGCTTGAACTCATGACCCCAAGGTCGAGTCTCATGCTCTACTGGCTGAGCCAGTCAGGTGCCCCAAAACATGGCTTTTTTAAACAAGAGAGGATTGGGGCTCCTGGGTGGTACCGTCGGTTAGGCATCTGACTCTTCATTTCAGTCCAGGTCATGATCTCAGGGTTCTGAGATCAAGCTCTGTCTCAGGCTCTGCTTGGTGATTGCTTGAGATTACCCCCTCCCTCTCCCTCTGCCCCTCCCCTGCTCTCAAACAAACAGAGAGGACCAATAGATTCCAGGCTAATATTCAAGACTTAAAGGTTTCACGGTGGCCTGTTTTTAGGAACACTGAGTAGAAATGGAGGGTTGGAACCAAATAATGGACAACCTGAATGCTAAGCTAAAGAACATGGGCTGTTATAGGCAACTGTCCCCTGAAGATTTTTGGCGGAAAGCCTTTGACCAGCTTGTACTTTGGATCAGCATTTCGACAGGAGCATGTACAATGGTCTGGAGGACCATAAGGGCAGGGTTATGAGCTGTAGCTACAATATGAGAAAAAGAAGGGGGTGGGCCTTGATGAGGGCAGAGAGAGAAGGCGGTGGTGGTGATGCGTAGGACACATTTATCTGGAAGGGTCAGGAGAGCTGAACTAATGCCAGGGTTCTAGTCTGGAAGGCTATGGAGGCCATGAGACTGCTCACTCAGATAAGGAGCACTGTTCAGCTTTTGAGAGGCTGTCCGAGGCACTTAGAAGATGCTAGTGGAGGCGCGCAGCACTAAGGAGACAGGCCAGGCCTGTGCCTGTAGGAGTGAAAGATCCACGGGGGAGAGCAAAGGCCAGGGGCAGAAGGCCTCCGTTTAAGGAGCAAAGCAGGGTGAGAAAGGTGAGGGAGACCAAGAGATAGGACCCTGTTACCTTCTTGGAAGGTAAATCCAGGGAATCAAAAAAAACGGACTGTTTACCTTAGTGCTTAGTCCAACAGAACAGCCTGCAATGATGGGAATGTTCCATTCCTGCTCCCTCCAGGACCATAGCCACAGGTCACATGCACCCACCAAGCACTTGTCATGTGATAAGGACAAACTGCGTTTTAACTTCAGAGTCAGCCCCCTGAACTTTTAAGACAGTAGTTTACAAAAATGGCTAGACGTAAGACAGATTTCCGCGGATGGTTGGCAGAAGCAACACAAATAGTTTAAAAGTGTTCTTGGCTTCATTCGACACAGTATCTTGAGAAACTTTAGAATGAGTGCCTTTGGAATGGTACTTAATTCTCAATGAGTTCCTCTGAATGAACTGGCTGAAAGGGCAACTGCATTGTTTGAATTGCTGAGAATTCTCAACAAACTGCTCATCTGAATTCTATTTCACCACAATGGCCCACCTCCTTCCAGACGTTCACCCTTCCCACCCTCACCTCTTATCAGCAGCACAGGAGCTCCGTCTGGAGACCGCGCCCAGGGAACACAGGCTTAAGGCACTAAAGCCCACTGTGAGGATTCCAGGCACGCTGGGCCCACACCCAGCTGGTTCTGCAACCAGCTCTGTCACTGGACTTCCCAGCAGGTAACCCCATCATTGCATATTCAGAGCCCAGGCTCTTGTACCTCAAGCCATTCACAGACATCTTGCTCCCTTCCCAGAAAACAGTTTTATACACCAAGAGTTTTACAAAATCCAAAATAATTTTATTCACTTTTTCAGATTTTTGCTTCCACGAGGTGTTCAGCAAACATGCTAAGGCGACAGAATGTCTAGTTGGTCACGACATGCAACGCTGACCAATCGGTTGATGACAGCAGCGACCACACCCACCTGAGCTACTGGTCCCACAGCACAAAGGGGGTTTGCGGGAACACGCGGAACCACACAGCGATCAGCAACCTGAGGTAGGTCTCTTTACAGTACAAAAAACTTCTACACCAGTGTGAGACACTGATTAGCAAGAGCTGCTTAAAGTCGCAGACTTTGGAGAGAGACAGACTGTGTGACAACTGCAGTGAGAGAGAACAGACCCACAAACTCCTGAACCCTGTCACTGAACTGTGGAGGCGTGGGACCAGGCAAATGACAAAGTACCACCGACGAAAGCAGCAGCCGGCCTGGGGCTTTGGAGCCAGCAGGTGTGGGAGCTGGAGAGCTCTGTGCAGTGGCCAGCATTTGGGAACCTGAGGCAGTGGGACACTCTGTGAACAGACTTGATTCTCGTTAAGAAACAACAGCAAAAAGAGGAAGGCAGGAAAGAGACTCCCCCTGTCCACGGAATGTTCTGTGATTCTCATTCCTGACGGAGGGAGTGAAAAGGGGGCTGGGGCTCTGCCCCACTGCTCTCCTGACAGAAACAGTGAATGACAACAGGACAGAAAGCAGGAGCCCTGAGAATTCACGGCGCTCTGCGTGGCCTCCAACAGCCCTGTCCACCCCCCCCACCGGGTGTGGCTGTGAGGAGGTGCAAGGGGGCCACCAGAGGGCCCACTATTGCCACACCTCTTCCTTCTGGACGCCCAGAGAACTCAGCACCGTGAAACCACCAGCTGAAGAACAGAATGCTACCCTTCCTACAATCTAATAGCAAAATCAGATCTCTAGTACAGCAAACTGTACAAAAATGATAGAAAGGAATTTGCACTGTTATCAGGACAGTGCTAATTTTAATATAAAATAAACAGCTTACATTTTCACTGTAAATATAGGCTATGTACAGAATTATATATAGATATAGCTACACGTATAAAGCTTCATTATAGGCCTCTGATACATTTATAATAACGGTTCCCTGAACCCTTTAGAGTGCAATTAAGAACAAAAACTAAATTTTGTTTATATGAATATGGAATAAATACAATAATCAAAATAGGACTCTCCCTAAAATTGAAACACACAAGCCAATCCTGAACTACTGTGCGAAAGATAAAACTGGGAAAGGCAAGGTTTCGGCAGGAGGAGGCGATGAGGGGCCCGCCCAAGGCAGGGAATGGCAATGCTCCAAGGAAAAGAGACGGCGGCAGGGAGGAGTTAGCCCTTGACAGCGACCTTGTTCTCCACGGCGGCAAACATGGCATAGAACCGGGAGCTGTCATTGGACAGAAGGACTGATGGGGTGTCGAACTCCACCACCTGCAAAGGAAGGAGACACGTCACTTGGGATCATGCAAGAACCACAGCCAAGAAGGAGATAAACCCCAAAGCCCCCTGGGGACAGAATCACAGTGACAATTCCATGAAGTTCTGCCATGCCCCAGTGGGTTCCACTTTTGTTTTTTTCTTTCTGCTAACCACGGTGTAAAGGACAGGTTAGGGAAAAAGACATCCAGACCTCCCTCACATAAATCTCAGGGAGAAAAAAAATTGCAGCGCAAGTCAAGGGCATAGTAGGCAAATGTCATCTTGTACAAACTGATCCTAACCTATAGATGGAAAAAGAACAGCTCAGAATACCCAGCTGGCAGAATAAAAAAAAGGAAGTAAGAGATCTAGTCAGTCACTTATCCACTCCTTTGATGGACTTCTGTGCAGCCATAAAAATCCTATTGCAGCAAAAAATGGAACAATATGTTGGTATAGCCTGGCTTCCATAAAAAAGGCACTTTCACCTACTCACTTTCCCAGCCTTTCTTGCTATAGGGCCAAGGCCTGTGGCACAGCCTTGACCAAGGAGAAATCTCTGGGCACTTCTAGGAAAGGCTGCTCTGCCTGGTGGATACAGGCAGAGGACAAAGTTCGCTTCCCTAGGCCTGGCTACGTGAGGCTATGACAGTGGGTGCTACGCAGACAGCCTGGCCCTGGAGGGGGAGGGGAGGTGGGTACCGGCTGGAGGCTAACGCAGACCCTGACGGCGCTGAGCTGCTGAAGAACCAGCCATTTGGCCTCCTGCTGTAGGATGACAGTCTCCTGCCGTCCAAGCCTCTTCTGTTCTGCTACTGTGTGTCTGCTGAAGAGCACATCCTATCCACTAGAGTCTATGCTTAGTATTAGAGATGCATGAAACAGGCTGGCAGGGGCAAACGGATGTCCCCGGTGAGGGAAAGGACTCATTTTATTTTTGCCTTTACGCTTTTTTCATGTTTTTCAGGCTGTCCTCTAATGATAAGGAAATTTTAGTTCACAAGAAACAAAAATGAAGGGACGGGTAGAGTTCCTCATAGAGAGCCAATCAATCCCCATTCCAAAACACTAAGCCACTCATAGAAACAGAGTGGTCTAGATGTGGGTCTTTAAGAAAGAATTTCCCGGACAGTGTTCTTGGCCCCCTCCGCTTTATACATTCTACTTAATACCTATGTACAGAGTAGTAGCTGCCTGTACTGAGTGTGAATTAGAATCTCAGTAAACATTTAGGATAATGTAAAGACAGTAGCAAAACCCGCCAATGTTCACATAATTTCAAGATGAGGAGAAAAACCGTGAACTCCTATGTCTCTCAAACTCAGTTCTGAGGCCCAGCCTCCATCTGTTGTAGTAACTGTTTTCCTCAGGACTTCTCCATAGACAGAGGGACGGGGCGGTCGGGCTGTGTAAAGCACTGGCTTTGGTGTCGCCGGCCTAGCTCAGTTCCTGTTCTCTCCCTTCCTGTGGACCAGAGATAGGTTCAGTTCCCTGAGCCCACGTTCTCTTCTGGAAGGCAGGCCTGACACATCTGCATCTTCCTTGTGTGGTGGTGATGACTAATTATGCGTTGGGAGGCTGTACGTACAGCCCTTAGCGCAGTGCCTGACGCAGTACGCATTCAATGGAAGTGGCTATTATGGGGGCCTTATTGTTAATCACACAAGACAAGTCACACACTGCAAGTGGCTTGTTGTTTCTGCCAAACCACTAATTTCCTGCCATCCCAGGCGCACACAAAGAAGCTATCTGTCCAACATAAATTTACTTAACATCATAAGTGACATACTTAACATCTACCAGGTGCAAAGAATGTCGCATGGGGCCCTGCCAGGGACCCAGAGACAAATAAGGCATGACCCCTGCCCTTACAGAGTTTACAGTCTAATAGGGGAGAGAGGGCATTAGCCAGTGACCCTCAGAGGAGGCAGAGGAGCTACACGAGAGGTACACAAAGTTTCAGGTAGCAGAGAGTGTCAGGCTGTGGGAACTGTGCCTTTCAGAGGGACAGGCAGCTGCAAGCAGACAGATATGGGGATGTGGCAGAGGGAACAAGAGGAAAAGGCATTGGAAGTACATGGGACTGAGTGAGGAAAGACAAGGAGGGGAGCCAGTTTAGGGGATGCAAGTTTTTTTGTTTGTTTGTTTGTTTGACAGAGACAGTAAGAGAGGGTGCACAAGCAGGGGGAGTGGGAGAGGGAGAAACAGGCTTCCTGCCCAGCAGGGAGCCCAATGCGGGGTTTGATCCCAGGACCCTGGGATCATGACCTGAGCCGAAGGCAGACACTTTTCGACTGGGCCACCCAGGTGCCCCAATGCAAGACTGTTTACAGCCACCGACACCTGCAAGGAGTGAGTGGCAAAGGAAGGTGGCCGCGCTGGGCCAGACTGTGGGAAAGCTTGGAACAGCAGTATAAGAAGTCTGGCACCACTACATGTTTGCGAAAAGCTAACTCAAGGTGGCTGGACTCAGTACACCTTGGGCAATTCCTGTGTATGTGACTTAATTAGTAACTCTGGGCTCTCTGACCTAGGTCAAAATGTCATTTTTATAGGCAAGAAAAAGGCAGGTACCAAAGCAAAATGAGAACCAGTTAAGAGTGCCCCTACTTGATCTAGGGCATGGGAGGGGTTCTGGCTTGGGAGGACTGTATCCCTCCCAGCGGCAGCCAGGTTAGAGTTACTAAGGCTGCTTATCTGAAAGCTAACAATCGCAAGATGCCAATCAGCCCAATCCTGCCAGGGGTCAGTTTCCCCTAGACAAGGCCACATGCCACGTTATGGTCCCTCAGGGGGTGAGTACCTGTCCCTGGGCCAGCACCATAATCCTATCAGAGCCGAGGACTGTATGTAGGCGATGGGCAATGGTCAGCATGGTGCAGTCAGCAAATGCTTCTCGGATGGTCTCCTGGATTAGTAAGTCTGTCTCCGTGTCCATGGCGGCTGTGGCTTCATCAAGAATCAGAATCTGCCACAAAAGAGAGGAGAAAGAGAGATCCAACCAATTCCCTAAGCATTCTTCTCAATCTGCATTTCGAAAGATGTATTTCATTATTTAAGTTTTACACCATACTCTGTTTTTCCTCAGTAGGTACACGCCTATGTAAAAGGACCATCTTGCTTAGAACAGATACAACTTCAAACCTGCGTGTCTGCCTTCCTTTCCACACACAAAAGGATAAGCATGTAACACTGATCTAACAAAACGCTTGCCCCCACTTGCTCAGTGACCCTGAGCATGAATAGAAATCTTTCTGGATCTTCCTTTTCCAGTTACAAAATAAGGGGACTGGATTTGATGGCCTGGAGATCTCTGGGTCTATGGTTTTCAATAGTACTACCACCACTCACTGGCCAGAAACAAAAGTCACCCTTGGAAATGAAAGGCTTGGGGAAGTCTGAAGGCTCAAAAACACCTGTATACCCAGATGGTGTCAAGGTGAATTTAGAAACATCTCTGGGGCCAGGAAAGCCTTTGGACCTCATGGCACGGGGAAAGGTTGTTCTTCCCCTTGCCTGCCACTCCACAGACCGCCGTACCTTACAGTGACGGAGCAAGGCTCTAGCTATGCACAGGAGCTGCCGTTCCCCCACCGAGAAGTTATCTCCATTCTCCATCACTTCAGATTCAAGTTTCAGAGGAAGCTGAGCAATCTAGGGAGAAAGGAAGTAGAGACATGAAGAGTCAAAAAAAAAGTAAATTTAGGGGGGAGAAAAACGGAACTAAATTTTGTCCAAAGTCCAGTGGCAAAAATAAGCTATTCTGAAACAGATGCAACAATGATTAGCCAAGAACGCGGCTCACCTAGAAAGAAGGTATAGGGGTGATGATCACGTGTACTAAGACCCTCATTTTCCAGGACAGTCCCTGTTTCAAGTATACTATTCTGTTAGCCTTATGCCGTTCAAAGGTCTTAAAATTCCAGCATTTTCATATCCCCAAATCCTGTCAGATTGTGGCCCTAATCTTTGGTTCTGAAAATACGGTCATACCCATAGGAGATGGGGAAAGTGAGATCACTCTTTCTGATTTCCAAGGCTCTAAGTTTATGGCTGTCAAACCTGCCTTTATAATAAGCTATAAGCCTATCCTTCCAATGAAATGGTTGGAGGAAGCCCGGTATTATAGTGATAAAGGCAGAACTGACCTAGCTGAAGCAGGGCAGGGGATCCTGAGCTTAAGTCAGCTCAGGGGCATGAGAGATCCCACCCACCCCCGACCCCCCGGTGGGAGGTATCATGGCCTTGGGAGGGTGCATGCTGAGTTACCTAAGAGGTCAGTGATCCCATAAACATGCTGCTGCATGCTTTCTGCAGACATGATACATATCTAGATGCTGCAAAAGCATATTACACCATTATGATGAATAAAACAGAAATGAATGTAAAAGCATTATGTTATTCTGAGTGTTTGTCATTAATATCTTGGTTAATCAATGGGCAGCAAAAGCGCAATATGACCACGGTTGAGAGATACCAACTTTTAAGCCCTTTCTGAAATGCCTGGGAAGGCTTATCTAAAGTGATCCCACACAGACAGCCTGGAAATAAAGGGACAGACCAGGCTGGACAGAGGCAGCCAGGGCAGGCTGGGGAGTGACCTCAGCACTGTTATGGTTCCAACCTTTAAATACCAGTGAAGCGGGCCCTTGGGGCTTTACTTACACATTCTTTCATGTGTGTCCTTTCTAGGGCATCCCAGATCTGGTCTTCAGTGTACTGGTTGAAGGGATCCAAATTTGACCTAGAAAGAAGCACGGGAGGAATTTTCCAGTGATTCAGCGTGTAAGTGACCATACCGCAAAGGCGGTCTGTGGTAGAAGTTTAAACACGCACGGGAAAAGGAGGGATGGAACTCCTCAAGGTCACAGACCACTGGCTCCCTAACCAGCCTTAGGCAGCAGTGAGAAATACTCCTGCCTCCCTGTCCCAGGAATGTATCTGAGAATAGGCTGGGCCGCTCCGTCCTCTTTATAAAACTTTATTTCTTTTAACATGTACTACTTTCATTATGTAAATATTGCAGATCAGTTACAGAAAAATTAAAAAATACAGATACTGAAACATAAAACCAAAACCAATGTTTTCATCACCTCTAATCAGACCCTCAGCAGCAAACACCGTTAGCATTGTGGCACATACAGGTTGAAATACATCTCTCTGTGTGTACAATTTTAGAAAAACAGCCTCTTTCTTCCTGATGCACTAGGGTGAGAGCCTGTCAGAGCAGGCACTCGAGGGTGGTTGGCGGACCAGGAGGAGGAGCCAGTCCAGTGGAGGAGAAAGGAGGGCCTGAAGAGCAACTTAGGGGAAGGAATTTACTGGTGCAGAAAACCAGTTTGGGTACCATTCTTGCTCACTGTACCCACAGTAGCTATCTCGAGAACATTGAGGATGGTACTAAAAGAGCAGGACTCGACATTTCTGGAAATGTTAAGATGGGGGAAACAGCTCTTTGTCATGGAGGAAGTAGGTGGAGAAGTGGTGGTGGAATGGGTAACTGGTGGAAACTGGGAGGTTACATTCTTTTTGGGGCATCTTGTCTCTGTCTAAACATGACATTTACAGGTCTAGTAACCTGAAAGGTATTAGGTGTAATCTGCTTTGCTCATGAACTTGGTCTGCACATATGGGAAACAGGAAAGTCTTCAGGAGAACTTGAGCTCCACATCTCATCTGTCTCCGCGTCTGGGGTTACTAACTCCAGGCACGCAAATGCAAGCAGGACGTTATCCCAGAACTCCACCGAGCCCCGGTTGGCACCTGCCCCGCTCATCCCTTTGGGTCCCCTCTGGACACTTCCAGGAGACTCTAACTGGCTCTGCTCTCTTGTGCCTCTTGCCCTTTGCACGTGGAATATGTGCACCTCTCCTCACCCTTTGGCTTGAGAGACTCTGGCAAAAGCAAGGGCTCTGGGGCCAGACTTGCTGATTCCTACACAGCTCCTATCTACGGCAACTGTGTGGCCCCGACGACGTTAGCCTAACTTCTCTATGCCTCCGTGCCCTCATGTGTGAGACAAGGATCCAAAAGCACCTCCTCCAAAGGTCGGGATGGCTGCATTTCACGTGTAGAAAGAATTCAGAGTGGCCCCTGCTGCATGGTTAGCATTGTGCACGTGGGAGCTATGATTACGATGATGTCATTATTGGCATGCTGTTACTCCTTGGCTAGGATTCCTTCTTGTCCTTCAGGTCACAAATTAGATGCAGAAAGCATCTCCTGACTCTTCAAGCCTGACTTAGGTGTCCTCATGCCCACCCTCTTTATGGCACTTGTCACTCTGTCCATTTGTCTCTGCCCCCATTGCATCAGGGTCCTTGTCTGGATCTTCTTCACTGTTGAATCCCATGTACACTGTCTAATATTTGTTGTCAGAATAAAAGAACATAGAGCCTTACTTGACTTCCTGATAAGAGGCTTAAATGACAATTTAAGCATTTTCTGTCAGGACAGAGGCAAAGAAGAGTGTTGGTACAGGGAGTACGCGCTCCCGTCTATCTAGGCAGACTAGGCTCAAATCCCCACTCTGGTTCTAATCGTCTGCATGACCTTGGGCAAACCATTCCTCAGTCTCCTCTCTATAAAATGGGGATATAGTGACATGACTCCTTAGGCTGCTGTAGACATTAGAGACAGTACCTACAGCAAACATTCACACAGTGGCAGCTGTTAAATGGACAAGGTATATACAGACACATTAGCCGCCTGGTCCAGTGCTTGGTGGTTTTCTGATTTATATTTGGTGCACTTTCCAAGTAGACACAATAATCCCAGGTTCCTGAATACCAGGCTCAAAAAGAGTTCTGATAAAGTCCTATCTGTGCAAAGTCTAGATGGGGAAGACTGATCTTCTATAGACATACCATCTAATATCTGGTATCTCCATAGGTCTATCTCTTAAACAAGAAGGTGGGCCAATTTGCTGATAATCTGAACTGTGAAATGGCAGACCATGGGCTAAGTTTAAGGAGAACAGCACCTGTTTCTAATCACACTGGAAGTCCCTGACCCTCCCTGCCTCTCTAACACTCCAGAGTCTGCACAAAAATCTGGGTTGTCAAGATCAGCGTTTACTGTTCTGTTTTTGTTTTTAAGATTTTACTTACTTATTGAGAGAGAGAGCAAGTGACAGAGAGAGAAAGCATGAGTGGGAGGGTCAGAGAGAGAGGGAGAAGCAGACTCCCTGCTGAGCAGGGAGCCCAGTGCAGGGCTATCCCAGGACCCTGGGATAGTGACCTGAGCTAAAGGCAGATGCTTAACCGACTGAGCCACCCAGGCACCCCTGCCCAGTCCAGTTCTTCATTTTGCCATCCTCCTAACACAGAACTCCTGGTTCTTTGACCCAGTTCCCGGGTCATTGCAGGTGTAATTTGTTAAAATGAGGTCATTCCGGAGTAGTGGAGTAGAGTGGGTCCTTACTCCACTATGACTGGTGTCCTTATAAGAGAGGATCACGAGAAGGCAGAGACATAAAGGGAGAGGACCATGGGACAATGGAGGCAGAGATTGGACAGATGCGCCTATAAGCCAAGGAGCACCGAAGATCACTGGCAGGCCACCAGCAGGCGGAAGAGGCAAGGTAAGCATCCTCCCCTCCACGTCTCAGAGGAGCATGACCCTGCTGATACCTGGATTGCAGGCTTCTAGCCTCTGAAACTGTGAGAGAAGAAGTTCCTGTTGTTTTAAGCCATCCAGTTTGCGCCTCTGCTGTGACCTCCCTAGGACTGAATACAGCCAGGAAGCCCACCACATACCTCTTCTCAGACACAGCAGCACATAGGTGTGAAGCCTACTCACTGGGAAGCCCCCCCATCAGATCCTCTGCGGGAAGACTCAGCAGACACAGGGCAGGCCTGACATTCAGCGCTCCTAGGCCCATCCCACCCAAGGAAGGAGCCTCCAAAAACCAGGCTCTGGGTTCCAAGATATATAAGGAATATTTACACACACCAGGAGGTGGTTTACATACACATTAAGGCACACCAGACCGATCTCAACAGGGAGCTCAGTCAGGAACAGAAGAAAACACACGCTCATTAGAGAAGCCAGATGGCCCTAAGTCTAATCCACAAACAGAAGTGAAAGCAAAGCTATGCATTCACAACATCAGAAGTTTTGGCTGGGTGGATGGAGAGAGAAAGAAAGTCATCTGAACAGGAAGGCACGTATTTTTAGTGGCCAGAACTCCTGGGGTCCTAATGTCACCAGAAGCGCATTTTCATCTTTGGTCCTTCATATTTTCTTTTTAGCAGTATTCTCAGCTTATCTCTTGGCCATGGCTAAAAGAGGGCGAGAATCTCTCTGGGAGCATGAGTGGATACAGGAGTGACTCCCTGACCCGTGGGAAGACACTAGAGCACCACACCGTCCCACAAACCGGATGGGAGCGTCCTGAGCAGCTCGGGCCTCTGCAGGGCACCCGGGACCCACCGACTTCCTGCTAATGGGAGCTGAAGGAGAACTCAAAGTAGTTATTCAGAAATATGGACTGCTTTTGGCCTTTAGTTGTTAAGTGTAAAATGAGGTAGAAAAAGGCTAGAGGTGGGAAAAGGGACACCGCGGGGAGGAGAGTAAATGAGAGGGACTCAACAGAGCAGCAGAGAGTGTGTGACTTTTTTTTTTTTTTTTCAAGATAAAGGAGGACTATGCGAATCTAGAAGCAGATGAGGAGATTTTGAAGATGCTGGAAAAAGAAAGGTAACAAATGTCAAGGGCCCCGGGGCGCCTGGGTGGCTCAGTCATTAGGCGTCTGCCTTTGGCTCAGGTCATGATCCCATGACCATTTTTTTATTAAAAAAAAAAAAAAAAAAAAGTAAAATAAAAGTCAGGGCCCCCAGGGAAGCAGGCTTCGCTCTGGTTGTTGGAAAGACGGAATACCTTCTAAGGTCGAGGTGGAGAGTGGGTACTGTGAGAACTCCAGGAGGTGACGGAGGACACACTCTCAGGCACATGAGAGCACCCACAGCCAGGGTTCAAACGCCTATCTTTGGGCAAAGTATCTCACCTCTCAGGGTTTTGCTTTCTTCATCTATAAAATCGGCACAATAACAGTACCTCCTTCTTGGGGTTTTAAGTATTTGATGAATTAATACAATTAAAATGATTACAACAACATCTGCCACATACTAAGTTCTCAATAAGCTCAGCGACTTCCGTTATTGTTGTTCTTTAGAACAACACTGTCTGGCACAGATTGACCTTTCCCCTTGTTTTTTTGTTTTTAAAGATTTTATTTTATTTATTTGACAGAGAGACAGCAAGAGAGGGAACACAAGCAGGGGGAGTGGGAGAGGGAGAAGCAGGCTTCCCACCGAGCAGGGAGCAGGTCTCGATCCCAGGACCCTGGGACCATGACCTGAGCCAGAGGCAGATGCTTACTGACTGAGCCACCTGGGCAACCCTTCCCTTGTTTTTTAAAGATAATTTTTTTAAACAGCCAATTTAGGTTCATAGTAAAACTGAGAGGAAGGTAAAGATTTCCCATCTGCCTTGCCCAGAATGACTTAGCAAATGTTGGATAAAACCTAGTGTTCTTGATTAGTTATTCTAGACTTCACATTACTTTCTGATATTGAGACTAAAAAGCTTTTGGGAAATTCCAAGTTCCACAGAAACAAAGACTATATATTAAAATAAAAAAATTAAAAAAAAAAAGGAAGGAAAAGAGAGAGAGAAAGAAAAAGGAAGAATGAGGAAAGGGGGCGTCCTTCAACAAGAGAGTAATTCAGAGACAACGATGAGACCTAGAGATTCTAAGAGAAGCTGCTTCAAAGTTAGAACAGCTTCCATTCCCTCTAGAGGGCTAACGGCTTCTGTCTGAAGGGGTCTGGGCCCAGAATGAACCAAAGCAGAATGGGTCAGTTGTGCTCAGTAATTTTTGCTGTGATTTTGACTTGGGAACAGAAACATTCCTCAAAAGTAAAAAAAAAAAAAAAAAAAAAAGTAATGGGCAGATGGAAACGGAGTGAGGATGTGTGACTAGGAAGAAATGAGAACACTGCTTCTTGTAATGAATGGCCACCAAGCAGAGATACTCCAGGTGATGAAAAGATGCCCGGTCCCTATAAGCAGACCGAGACTCATAGACAGAGTGACAGCTGAGGACGACTAGTCTTACTGAGAGGCAGATTAACCACCAGCCAAGGTGAGACTTAAACTGTCCCCAAGGATGGAATGACTCCAGCAGCAGGGGCTGGTTAGGGCAGAGGAGAGGGATCTCAGAAAGCACAGGGTCCTCTGGGGAAGGGAAAGGAAGGTACTGCCAAGGCTGTGAAAGAGGAAGGTCAGCAAAAATGTTCAGGGTAAACCACAACGGCCAAACTATGGAAAGAGGCCAGATGTCCACTGAAGGATGAACGGATAAAGAAGATGTGGTATATATCTACAATGGAGTATTATGCAACCATCAAAAAATGAAATCTTGCCATTTGCAACAATGTGGATGGAACTAGATAGCAAAAGTAAGTTAATCAGAGAAAGACAATTATCATATGATCTCACTGATATGTGGAATTTAAGAAACAAAGCAGAGGATCATAGGGGAAGAGAGGAAAAAGTGAAATGGGACAAAACCAGAGACTGAGATAAACCTTAAGAGACTCTTAATCTCAGGAAACAAACTGAGGCTTGCTGGAGTGGAGTGGGGTGGGATGGGGTGGCTGGGTGATGGACACAGGGGAGTGTATGTATTGTGGTGAACGCTGTGAATTGTCTAAGACTGCTGAATGACAGACCTGTACCCCTGAAACAAATAATACATTATATGCTAATTTAAAAAAATACATATTAAAAAAAATGTTTAGGGTTGGGATAAAAATAAACCTGTTGTCTTAGAGGGCAAAAGGGCAAAAGGCACAAGAAAGGGACTAGCTGGAAAAGGGAGGGCTGGATGAAGCTACTGAAATGGACCGAGAGTCCAGCTAGTCTAGGGAGCAGTATGGCCCCAAATGATCCGGTCTGTGATTCAGATTATATTTGTATGATAACAAATCAGACATTTTTATCTCATTACCTTAAGTTTTGATTTTGGTTTTACCTTGCTTTCACTCTGAGAGATCCTTATGGTTTTTTCTTTTTAAAGATTTATTTATTTGAGAGAGAGAGAACAAGTGGGAAGGGCAGAGGGAGAGAGAATCTGCGCTGAGCTCAGAGCCTGATGCAGGACTCCATCCCACGACCTTGAGATCACAACCTGGCAGAAACCAAGAGTCAGACGCTCAACTGACTGTGCCACACAGGGCCTTGAGAGTTCCTTATGTTTTAACTGCATGTTGGTATCTCAAGGAGGTGGATCCACCCTTTACTGATGGCTAATGGCAATAAAGATAGTTTCCATGTTCAGGGTCTCTGGGAGACCACTGAGAAATAGCTGATCTATCCTGCCCTTGCCTTGGGAAACTATTTATAGGCTTTCTAATTTTCTAAGAAAAGCAAAAGAGCACCAAAGCTGAATGTTCTTTGGGATTTATATGAGACCTGAGAGGATAAAGGGAGAAAGACGGTAGGTCTGGGATTTAATTTGTCCTCAGGCTCTACTCCTGACTTAAAAAGATAAAATTACAGCTGGCAGAACATGAAACTGATATGATTTCCTAAATTTGTACAGTTGACTGCCCAAATAGTCTGAGCTCAGTAACTAAAAACTCTGGGCAGTAGCATACCAACTGTAAGCTTGTCTATCAAGCAGCATCATGTCTCTAGAGCTGGTAACAAATGGCCCGACTCCCAGGGAAGCTGCACTTCCCTGAGTTTCTACGAACAGCGGTTGCACATGCCAGCAGGCCAGTTCTTTTTTTTTTTTTTTTTTAATTTTTATGTATTTATTTATTTATTTGACAGAGATCACAAGTAGGCAGAGAGGCAGGCAGAGAGAGAGGAAGGGAAGCAGGCTCCCTGCTGAGCAGAGAGCCCGATGCGGGGCTCAATCCCAGCATCCTGGGATCATGACCTGAGCCGAAGGCAGAGGCTTCAACCCACTGAGCCACCCAGGCGCCCCCAGCAGGTCAATTCTTAACCATCAATTCTCGTATACGTGCTGCCCAAACAAGCACTTAACCATTCACTCTAGAAGTCCCTGATTCACAGCCCCAAACGAAGAGCTGTGAAATTTACAAACGAAAAGTAAGGCTTCTTGGTGGCAATGCATTTAAGAGAGTCAAGTTCAATACATTGCTTTTCTTAATTCTATTCCAAATGATAATGAAAAAATTGTTCTTTTGTCCTGAGCCAGAAATTATAAGGCCAGTTAAATTCTCAAAGACATTCTTGTGGCATCTAAAAATAGGAATTTACAGGAGAGAAGAGCAGATTGGCAACACCTCTTGACTTCTTCTTTTTTTTTTAATATTTTATTTATTTATTTGACAGAGATCACAAGTAGACAGAGCAGCAGGCAGAGAGAGAGGAGGAAGCAGGCTCCCCGCTGAGCAGAGAGCCCGATGCGGGGCTCGATCCCAGGATCCTGGGATCATGACCTGAGCCAAAGGCAGAGGCTTAACCCACTGAGCCACCCAGACGCCCCCACCTCTTGACTTCTTAATTTTAGACCCGAGTCTTCAATAAATTCTAATTCTCTTCTGACATTTGTTTGACCTTGTTATCTCAGGACCCAAAGAGAATGACTGAGCATCATCAACAGATCCAATCTATGCTGCCCAAATTCATTAGTGTTTAGAGAAAATGCCAAAATAATATACCCAAGTGTGTTGACCCTACAATGGGGATGGTGAGAATTCACTCTGTCTACCAAACCTCCTTGAATCAGTGAGTTCAGGTGCTATTTCCAAAGAAAGGGAGGGGACCTAATTTTAAAGACAAGTCCATGGTTATTTGAAATTAAGTTGGTACCAATTTTTCTGAAGACTGCTAAAAATTAAAGAAATTTAATTTAATTAAAAAAAAATAGAAGTCCAATCTAGGTCAGCTATATAGTTAAAGCTATTTTTAGTTCAAAAGATAAGCAACTTGAATAGACATGTATAGGAATTATAGAAACCCACTGTTTCAAGGAGGCAAAAGCTTAAGACTAAGGGTGAGGGTGGGATAAGGTATAGGGAAAGTCAATTGGATTAAATATATGTCTTTCTTAGTTACTATTTTAACAGGTCAAGAGAAAGAATCTTAGGAGCGCCTGGGTGGCTCAGTTGTTAAGCGTCTGTCTTCAGCTCAGGTCATGATCCCAGGGTCCTGGGATCAAGCCCCAGTGGGGAGTCTGCTTCTCCCTCTCCCTCAGCTCCTTCCCCCTGGCTCATGCACTCTCTCTCTCGAATAAATAAATTAAATCTTAAAAAAACAAGATGGGATCAGGAGGGAGACAAACCCTAAGAGACTCTTAATCTCAAAAAACAAACTGAGGGTTGCTGGGGGACCAGGGGGTGTATGTGGAGAGGGTGGTTGGGTTATGGACATCGGGGAGGGTATGTGCTATGATGAGTGCTGTGAAATGTGTAAGCCTGACAATTCACAGACCTGTACCCCTGGGGCAAATAATACATTATATGTTAATAAAAATAATTAATAAAAAAAGGAGGAATTTTATCTTAGGCACCCTGGCAGATTTCAGCGAGAGAGAGAGACATCATTCCAGAGTCAGAATCAAAGGTGCGGCAAGATACTGTAACACGAAAACCCATGAGTGATAACAATGCCTGAAAACTGCCATGAGAACTGCAAGTTGGAGCACATGTAGGACAGATGACAATACGGAGTGGAAGGAATACAAAGGGTGATGGGATGAGGCTGACGAGCTGCTACTGTCCACTGCCACCATGTGCCGGGGTTGGTGACTGCATAATTTGTGCAACTTCTTCATTCTCCACAATGACAGCCCTTAGTAGTGTCCCCATTTTACAGATGAGGGAGTGAGCTTAGGTTCGGTCAGATAACTTGTCTGAAGTCACAGAGCAGAGATCTGAGCCCAGATCTCTCTGACTTCTTCACCACGTGCGGCAGGGCGCTCAGCCCCCGTTTTGTGGAGCTGCCCCTTCCTTCTGCAGGGAGAAGTACACGGTGGTGGGAAGAGCACTAGACTAGAGGTCCCTTGATCTCAGTCCTACACGGAGGCTCTCCTGTGCCCACCTGGCTTCAAAATGCAGCACGGAGCCCACGGCTGCTTGGGTCCTCACCTGACAGTGCCACTGAACAGCACTGGCTCTTGAGGAATAATGGACAGCTTGCTTCGGAGGTCAGCAAGGCCAATATCACTGATTCTCACGCCGTCGATCTTGATGCAGCCTCCAGATAACTCCACCAGACGGAAGAGGGCCATCCCCAGAGAGGATTTCCCTGAGGAGTCAAAAAACATGCAGAAAAGTAGCTCAATGAGCAAATTTTGTGAAAACAGAAATTGGTTTCAAACCTCCACCACCACCCCGGGGCAAAATCATCCATTTTTCTAGCTCTATTCAATTATTATTTCATCTGATTAACTAGGATGATGTAGAAAGTGATAGCCAGAAACAGAAAAAAATGCACTGTATATACAAAAATATACATTTAAATCACACAGCTTCAGCCTAAGGAGTCTGAGGTGCTACCACACTTTCATGAGAGTAAATTAGAACAACGCCTGCTTTTCACACTGTGAGTGGGTGCACGGGCTTTCACACATCTCAGGCAAAGTGAGGAGAACAGAGTTCTTAGAGCCAGCAGCTAGGAGCAAACGGGAGGACAGGATGTTTTCTCTCTCTCCTGTCCCCTTACAGTAGGTGAGAAAGAAACAAAACAAGACCTCCTACCATTCTTGCTTAAGCACAAAGGGAAGGAGTAAATATGTGTTGTAGTTGACTCTATCATGATAAGGAACTGTGATAGAAAAGTGGGTCTGAGGGGCGCCTGGGTGGTCCAGTTGGTTGAGTGTCTGCCTTCAGCTTGGGTCCTGATCCTGGGATCCTGGGATGGAGCCCTGCATTGGGCTCCCTGCTTGGCAGGGAGTCTGCTTCTCCCTCTGCCCCTCCCCCATGCTCATGCTTTCTCTAATAAATAAAATCTTAAAAAAAAAAAGGAATCACCATGCTGTTAAAAAAAAAAAAACCAAGTTGTTCCACTTTGACAAAAGATGCTAGCCAGGCTGGAAGATTTAATAGTTCTCTGAAGCTGGAGATATGCTAATAAGATGGATGGATATGCTTATCCATCCACTGATGGATATGCTAATAAGAGAGGCCATGAAGTCCTTGTAGTGATGTCCTTGACTGTGGCCACGGCAGGGTAAGGATCTAAGAGCCTCTGAAAAAGCTCGTTAGGGTTAGAGTTTAGACTTTGTAAGTCAGGCTATTTAAATAATTACTTTATTTTTTCCTGTTTTTCTCCTGTAACTACTTATGGCTTTATAGCCCCCCCCTTTTTTTAAGATTTTATTTATTTATTTAAGAAAGAGAGAACATGAGAGGGGAAGGAGCAACGGGACAAGCAGACTCCGCACTGGGCATGGACATGGAGCTCAATCTCATGACCCTGAGATCATGACGTGAGCCAAAACCGAGTCAGATGCTCAACAGACTGGGCCACCCAGGTGCCCCTGGTTTAATGAAGTCTTAATGAAGAGCTCAGTCTGTCTTACCTGTATTAAGGGGAATCACAGGAGAGGGACATCAGTCAGAGCTTTCAGGAGAGCAGGGTACCCCTGGGAGCCAATGTAGTAGAGGGAATTTGAGGGAGAAAGCAAACAAAGAGCTTTGGGGACAGCCACCTTCCTGGACTAAAAATTCTCTTGCAGTGTAAAAATCCTACAGATATTGTATTGTTCTGACATGAAAAAATTCCTTCAAACAGGAAGCAGGAAATGGCTTTTTCTTCTCTTCTTAGCAGGTTCTTTAAAGTAAACTGGCCAGAAAAGATACAAGAGGTTTGGTTTTATTTTTAATGGAAAGAAACAAAGCTAGAAGAGTTTTGACAAGGAAGCAACGAGCCCCAAAAGCTGATGCAAAGTGAACCAGAGAGACTTCTTATACCAGGTGAAGTGGTCAGTAAATGAAAACAAGCCTCAGTCTTTGAAATGTTATTCAGGAAGGAAAGAGGGAAGGAAATGAATTACTCAAATCCTGACCCTAGAAATCCAAAGAGCATAGAAGTAATAGGATTCTTAAGTGCGAAGTAGAACGCCTAAAATAAGAGCCAATTCTCTACTTCTTTGCAACTGATGTCAGATCAAGAAAATAATTTCGGTCTTCAAAGAACACAGGTTCCTTTTTAGAGCTACATTAGTGTCCGATAAATACAAGGCACCACTGGCATTATGTCACAGACGACTTACATCTTTTGAGTGTTTTGACCTCACAGAAATAAGGATATTCACTGCAGTACTACTTGTAATAGTGAAAACCTGACAACCTCAGTGCCATATAACTGGAGACTGGTTACATAAAAATTGTGGTATCTCATAAAATGGAATTTTATATCCTGCTGCATAGAATTCATGTCACAGGCTATTAATTGACATGGAAAAATATTTGGTAGATTTAAAGGCAGGCCATGAGACAGTGTGTGTAAAATGACCCCATTTTTGTAAACATATTTATTGATAGAAAAAGTCTGACAAGGAGCAGGTCTGGCTCAGTTGTTTGGGTGGCTACCTTCAGCTGAGGTCATTATCTCAGGGTCTGGGAGGATCTCAGCAGGGAGTCTGCTTCAACCTGTCCCACTGCCCCTCCCCCTGCCTGTGCTGTTGCTCTCTTCCAAAAAAATAAATAAAATCTTAAAAAAAAGAAAAGTCTGATAAGATACCCACCAAAAAATATTAACGGCAACTATCTCTGGGTAGTGGAGTTATGGGTGCTTTTCCCCTTTTGTACTTCGCTATATATTCCAATTATTCTGCATTGAGAATGTATACTTTTATGACCAGAAATAACACTAAGTGTAACAAAAGCAGGGTTGAGAATACACTGAGAAAATTGGCTTCAGGGAGACCTTAGCCATCACTCATTAATATGGGGCTGATTTGAAGGCATGAGAGGGATATTCAATAAACAATAAATCATGGGCCCCACGCTCAACTCTGATAGGTTCCAATATTTCTCCAGAGGCCTTGGCTCACTCTTACCTGATCCGGTCCGTCCCACGATGCCAATCTTCTCCTTGGGTTTGATCGTGAAGGATACTTTCTTCAGAACCAGAGGGAGATTTTCTTGGTACCTCATTTCTGCATTCTCAAAGCTCACCTCTCCTTCCTGGGGCCAGTCAGGGGAGGGAGCCTTGTTCTTAATCCTGGCAGGTGCTTCCAAAGAGAGAGTCTGGGGAGACAGAAGTGGCTGGGTCAGACTGACCAGATTCTGTGGGAGCTGCAAGGCTTTCAAAGAGAACTAAAACCCAGACAGCCACAGCAGCCACATAGAAGCAGCCACTGCCCTCTTCCCTTCTCACGGAAGATGCCCTTGGCAGTAAATGCTTATCACCACTAAACCACACAGAGTGCAATGGAGACTAACTTTATACTTAGCAGTTTACAGTGGCAGCTAAGCAGCATCTTGGGGAGGGCAGTGGCCTTCCAACTGTCTTCTGTCTTATGGAATTTCTTCACAAAACTGTGGTCTTGGAGGCCAAGGGTGTGGCATGAGGCATTCCACAGCTCCTCAAACAGACCACTTTTTATTGGAATTCTTTCAGAATACTCTACTTGAGACAAGATTCCACCATTTGAAAGCCAATGGCCTAAACCCAAAGGAAGGAAACTACCATTTACTGAACATTGCATCAGATCCTGGCATTCTGACATGTCAGTCACCCCAGGGGACATGGGCTCGAAGCCCAGTCTGCCACCAATCGCTATGTGTTCTGGATAGATCACTTCTTCACTCTAGGTCTTAGTTTCTTTTCTGTAAGTCATGGGGACCAGATTAGAGAATCGTGGAAATCCATTTAGCTTTTAAAATGTTCTCCCTGTCCCACTGCCCCTCCCCCTGCCTGTGCTGTTGCTCTCTTCCAAATAAATGTTTGGGTGATGTGACTGCTTGGGTAGTTTTTGTTAGTTTTTGTTTGGTAGTTTTTGTTACCAACAGTCCCATCTTGTAATGTTTGAAAATTCTCTGGCAACTAATCACGGGACCTTAACAGCCTCCTAGGGCAGTGAAAGCCAATGGTGGTGGAGCTCTAGGCAGGGATGGGGGTGTGGGGCAGGGCAGGAGGGTGGGTGGAGACTGACATCATGAACTCCAAACTAGAAGGGCTTCATGTTGGCAGAGGCATCCAGGTTGGGCATGGCGGTGAGAGCCAGTCCTCAGAAATGTGACTGGTTTGTGCAGGGTCCCCTCTGCTACAGCTGACCATCACCCTGACCTCTTCAGCAAGAGACTCTCACCAAAAGCAATATTAAATCAAACACTACATACCCACAGATACACCCACATACTGTCCACAGACATGGGCACTGGGCAAAGAAGCCAATGGATAATAAATAAAATAAAATAAAAATAAAATAAAAGGAATAGCTATTAGCAGATATCTGTCTGCCATGGATAGCTATGTGTCCTTCTTTCTGAGAATAAGAATTCGTAAGTTTAAGCAATGTCTTACAATTAATGAGGATCATTGTCAAAACAGTTCAGGGAAGCATGTCTGCTGGAAAATGCAGTTTACATAATATGCTAGTTCTCAGTGGATAAGGGTAGTTTTTCAAAACTCTGTTTCTAAGTCAATTATTTGGAAATTGGGATATATTATATTCTTCTCACATAAACCATGATCTAAATGCTGATAAATCTTTGGGCAGTTCACAAAATATGTAACTGCTCTGAACTGAGTTACCCTCGAGACCCTTAACTACCTGTGACTCTGCTTTTCTCTTCAGAAAACCACTTTCAGTGTCCCAGCTAGGACATGACCTGGCCACAAGGCGCTGTCCTGAGGTGGCACTGAAGGGTTACTGAGGGAAGGTGGGAAGAGTCGGTTCATCTCAGTATCAATGAAATTAACTGGTTTCTAAACCAGGAATGCAGTTTAGAATTGGCCATGGAGCTTCCAAAACGTCAGATGCCTGGGTTGACGGTATCAGATCAGAATCTCCAGAGATGAGGCCCACGTCTGTCTCTACCTAGAGCTCAGTGGGGGATACCGATGGCCATCCTTGGTTAAGGACAAGTGAACTAGGGGCGCTTGGGGGGCTCAGTCTGTTAAGCATCTGCCATCGGCTCAAGTCATGATCCCGGGGTCCTGGGATGGAGTCCCGCACCGGGCTCCCCACTCAGCGGGGAATCTGCTTCTCCCTCTGCCTCTCCTCCAGCTTATGCGCTCTCTGTCTCTCAAATGAATAAATAAAATCTTCAAAAAGAAAAAAAAGAACAAGTAAACTAGTTAAAAAACTACATGGCTTTATATGGCATAAGGAAAATGACCTACATTCTTAGACACAATTCATAAAAACATTTAGAAAGTCTTAAGATAATCTCTTCTCCATTGCACACAGGCTGAAGAGACTGCTGGTCCTCGCCTGTGAGAAAACAAGCATCCTCCTTGCACCTCCACCTGAGGCAGCAAAAGGGTAAAAGGACCCCACAAAGGATCAAGATCACAGTAAAAGGCTTTCGCATCCTGACCTTGATGTAGTGGTTGATCCTTTCCACTGAGGTGAAGCGGGCTTCTGTCTCGGATGCCAGTCTAACAGTGAACTGGAACAGCCCGGTTAACTGATAATGGAAAGCAAAATCCAGGAAGGAATTCATTACGAATACATGTCAGGCCAACGCTAGAAAACCTCTTCTACCTAGGGGATTACAGCTCAATACCCCAGTGAGCCGGGCACCTGCAGCAGCTAGTTGAACAGACTGAGTCATTCTCAAAATGTTTAACACAATGGCCATTATCCCCCAATCAACAGCAATTCTCAGTGAAGGTAGGTGGTATTGTGAGACTGCTGGCACTGACCCCTCCTGCCTCCGAGGGCTTTCCATCCATCTTTACACTTCCAGTACACACATCTGCAGCTGAACAACTTCTGGGCTTCCTTCCGAGCAGCCCGCACCTGCTCGGGCAGCCACAACTAATGGAGAGATGTATTGCCCTGAGACCAACTAGTGAAATGTAGATTCCCTGGGCATCTCAGACTGAGGACCCTGAACCCTGCTACAGAGAACACATATCCTTCCCCTTCCAGTGATCAAGTAATTCTATATAACTTGGACAGACATCTTTGGGAATCTGCGAAGATACATGAGCTCTTCTTGGTTTTCTTTGCCTACTTACTTGTTTTGGTCTTTCTGACATTTGGAAAAATGTCAGACATATACAGCAGTCAAAAGGACAGTATAATGAACTCCATGACCTTAACAACCTGTCAACTTAGAGACAATATTGTTTCGTCTATAGCACACCACCCCTCTGCATCATGGGAAAGCAGATCCCAGACATCCTATCCTTTCAACCTTAAATATTTCAGCTTGGAACTTTCTAACATATAAAGACTCTTTAAAAACACAATACCATTGTCCAATACCATGATGACATCTTAAAAATTAGTAATAATTCCTTAACATCTTCAAATACTTAGTGCTCAAGTTCCCAACTGTTCTCTGAGCTATTTAAAGAAAGACCCATAAACGATCCCTAGGGGCCGGGTCTACATATGTAACGGTTTTGGGAAAATCTGGGGCCTGAAAATAAAATGCATATAAGAAGCATAATGAGGACATAGTATTTCTTAGAAGACCAGGAAGAGGCCAGAGATGAGAGAGTGGTGAACATAGAAACCTGTAATTAAGAAACCATTTTCAAAATCGTGTTTATTTATAAATAAATGGCACCTATTTCTTAAACACGTGCAACCGACTTAAATTCCTTTGTTCCTATATACCACTCGTACCTCTCTCCCATCTTCCCCGCCCCGGCCAAGTCCAGGCTGTCACTAAGAATGCCGGTGGGCAGAAGCTCTAGGAGTCTCAAAGGCTGAGGCAGAACCCCCTACCATGCCTCTCCTAGGCCAGCACAGGACTCAAGTGAGCATAAGTTCCATTCCTGAGACTGACCTGGACGGCGTAGGAGATGGCAAGACCCGAGTAGGCGGGGGGAATCTGCCCGTGCATAAGAACGATCATCAGCCCGGTGGTGGTGATCAGGGCAATGCTGATCAGGTCCAGCCGCACAGCCAGCCACCGCATTGCACACGTGAACAGGAAGAAAGGACCTTGGTTGTTATCCAGGAGCTCCTGGTACCTGTGAGAGTGACAGAACACCTGACAGGCAAACAAAGTACCACAGGACCCTGAGAGCGGGTGATGTCACTGCTCTGGTGGGAATTACGGACAGAGGAACAACTTGTGAGTACTTCCTGTCTGTCGTTAGGAGGAGGATACGGAAATCAAAGGACTACAGAGTATTCCAGGCTCCGCACACAGAACGACTTGGGGTTTTCTAGTTTTACCCCTTCAAAGAAACATGTTCCAAGATGTTAGGGAAAAACATGTTAATGACAGAATGAATGCACAGGGAAAGGAGACCAAATAAGAGGCTGGCTAAGCTTTAGAAAAATGTCTTAGGTCAGGGGTTCCTTCCTCAAGGGGACAGGCTACACAGGCAAACTGCAGAAATGCCCTCAGACCTGGAAGATAAACTCGAAGACTGAAAATGGCTAAGTGGAAAACGTCTGTGGACGCACTGCTGTTGGGCAAAATGGTACTTGTTTCCAAGGCTGTGGAGCACAGAACCACAGCACAAACTGCAGCAAAAGAGACCTGGATAAACTCTGCCACTGAAGGAGGGAGACACGACTGTCACCAGGGGTCCTAGAGAGTGGATCAGACCCCATCCAAAGGCCTGGGTGTCACACATATAGTTAGAACCCCAGAGCAGGAAGTCCTGCCAGGCAAATGTGTTTTGTTTTAAAAAAAAAAAAAAAAAAAAAATCTCTTCCTCTTTATATATTTGGAGAAAATTTAGGAAATGCAGTAAAGAAAATATAGTATTCTCACCACTCAGGGTTAACAGTCTGTCATATCTTCTCCCAGCATTTTTTCCAATACACTTAAATGTAGGTGTGTATGTATATACACATGCATGGAGTCTATTTTACTGTTCTTCTCTTAAAGCAAAGATTATTTTTCTGAGTTGTCTAACCTAAACTTTTTTATTTAAATTTGATTATTAATATAAATGCATTCGTTTCAGAAGCAGAGTTCAGTGATTCATCAGTTACATATAACATCCAGTGCTCATTACATCATGTGCCCTCCTTAATGCCCATCACCCTGTTACCCCACACACCTCCCCTCCAGCAACCCTCAGTTTGTCTCCTATGGTTAAGAGTCTCTCATGGTGGGGGGTCTGGGTGGCTCAGAGGGGTTAAGCCTCTGCCTTCAGCTCAGGTCATGGTCTTAGGGTCCTGGGATGGAGCCCCGCATCAGGCTCTCTGCTCAGCGGGGAGCCTGCTTCCTCCTGCCCCGCCGCCTGCCTCTCTGCCTACTTGTGATCTCTCTGTGTGTGTTAAATAAAAATCTTTAAAAAAAAAAGTCTCTCATGGTTTGTCTCCCTCTCTGATTTCACCTTGTTTTATTTTTTCCTCTCTTCCCCTACATGCATCTGTTTTATTTCTTAAATTCCACATATGAGTGAAATATAATTGTCTTTCTCTGACTGACTTATTTCATTTAGCATAATACCCTCTAGTTCCATCCATGTCGTTGCAAATGGCAAGATTTCTTTTTTTTTTGATGGCTGAGTAATATTCCATTGTATGTATATACCACATCTTCTTGATCCATTCATCTCTTGATAGACATCTGGGCTCTTTCCATAGTTTGGCTATTGTGGACAGTGCTGCTATAAACATTGGGGTGCAGGTGCTCCTTTAGAATACTATATTTGTATCTTTGGGGTAAATACCCAGTAAAGAAATTGCTGAGTCATAGGGTAACTCCATTTTCAACTTTTGAGGCCCTTTTTTAGGGGGGAAGGGGGAGATTAAGAGAGCCAGTCGGGGTGGGGGAGGAGGGACAGAGGGAGAGGGAGAGAGAATCCCAACCAGGCTCTAGGCCCAGCACAGAGCCAGACGTGGGGCTTGGTCTCAAGATTATGACCTCAGCCAAAATCAAGAGTCAGACACTCAACCGACTGAGCTACCCAGGCACCCCTAAACTAAGCTTTCTATTCTAGGTTTTCTTTTTAAAATTAATTACTTAATTTTTGGAACAGACATTAATTAGCTTTTGGAATAGACAATATATACATAGGATAGAATATCTATATGGCATAAAAAGTTTTACCAATAGAAGTCAGTTTCTTTTTTTTTTTTTAATTTTTATTTATTTATTTGACAGAGATCACAAGTAGGCAGAGAGGCAGGCAGAGAAAAGAGAGAGAGGAGGAGGAAGCAGGCTCCCTGCTGAGCAGAGAGCCCAATGCGGGGCTCAATCCCAGGACCCTGAGATCATGACCCAAGCTGAAGGCAGGGGCTTTAACCCACTGAGCCACCCAGGCGCCCCTAGAAGTCAGTTTCTGTCCTGCCCATGCAGCTATTCAGTTCCCCTCTCCAGCGGCAACTAGTACTTCCTGAGTATCCTTTCAGACATGTTCTAAATGTTATAGGTACAAACACATACGTAAAAGGGAACATACCATACACACACTTTGTACCTTGTTCTTTCACAAATGTGTTTTAGAGATCGTTCCATATCAGTACCTATAGAACTGTCCCATTCTTTTTTAAGATCTACCTATTTGAGAGAGAAAGCGTGTGCACGAGTGGTGGGTCAGGGCAGTGGGAGAGGGAGAGAATCTCCAGCAGACTCCCCATTGAGCACAGAGCCCAATCAATGCAGGGCTCGATCTCACAACCCTGAGATTTTGACCTGAGCCAAAATCAAGAGTCAGATGCTTAACCCACTGAGCCACCCAGGTGGCCCATCTCATTCTTTTTAAGGTCCATGTAATATTCTATATGGGAGGACCAAAGCTTATATACCCAGCTCTCTCTGCAAGGACATTTAAGTTAGTTCCAATCTTGTTAATACAAATCTCCACAATGACTATGTACATACATTTCTCAACTAAATAATATTCAGCAGCTAAAATATCAGTCTAATGTCAATGACCATCATTGTTCAAAAAAAAAAAAAAGAAAGAAAGAAAGAAAGAAAAGAAAACCTCCTTCAAACATTCCATTTGGAGCCCAAAGCCAATAGACTCCAAACCAATGTTTTTGTCTTCTCATTTGCTTAGAAAGGAGTTCCAGCAAGTGAATGAATTTTAGTCAGAGACCATTGTACCAGTAATACTCTCGGTAATGAGCTTTACAATCTCTAACTCTGGCCTTAAAGGGCCTCTTAGACTTATTCAGTGCAGGGATGCTGACTCCCCTTTGCACCCTCCCGCTGCCATCAGCACTGACCTGTGCAGAAATTCCTGCCCTTTGTTGTAGGCATGGATGGTGGCAAGGCCCTGTATGCTGGATGTGATGTGGGAGAGGAAAGGGGACTGTGTGATATTGTCCAGACGTTTCAGCTCTCGAATCAGGACCCTAGAGAGAGAACGAGTTCTGAGTCACAGCGGTAGACAGACAACCCTGGCTTCATCCCTGGAAGACATGAACATCTCTTGTTTACCTGGAGACAATGTGCAGAACTGAGAAGAGGATGAAGAGGGGCCCCACCGCCACCAGGAACCATGGGAAAACCCCAGCGATCATTCCAACACAGAAGAACACAAGGATGACATTCTGGATGAACATCTCGGCCTGGAACGGCAGGCGTACATCGACTGGGGAGACAACAAGGGAACAAATGTCAGACAGCTGGGAACTACACACAGGAAAAATGAGACCGCAGTTTTTAAAAAACACAAAGAGGTTCCACAAACTCTCTATCTGAACTGTATGTGTTGTCTTTCAAAGCAGAGAAAAATCTAGAAACCTGGTTGATCGAATTCTTCTTGTCCCAAGGAAATCTAAATGATCTTTCTCCCCCAGGCCCTCTCCTGGGTTTAGGAGGCAACCCAATCCCTTTAAACAATTTTCTCCTTAAAAGTAATATATGTTTGTTGTAAAATATTTGGAAAATAAGTATGCAAGAAGGAAACATAATCTTTAATCTTACCAATACCAATAAACTGCTGCTAACATTTGAGAAGTTTTTACTATGGAAAAATTTAAGCATACACAAAAATCAAAAGAAAAGCATAGAACCTTCAAAAGTTACAAACATTTTCTTCATTTCCTCTGGACTATCTCCTCACTCCCCACCTCCCCCCCGCCTTTTTTTTTAGGCTGAAGTATCTTCATGAAAATCCCAGACATGTCAATAGCACTGATTTTTTTTCTTTCCACCTTTTCTCCATTTATTTGCGTGCCTGTGTGTGTGTACACATTAGTTCTGTGTATCAGTGATGGTTCTGAACCCTTGTTACCTCCAGCCACAGCTTTACATTGACTTTATCAGCATCTAAACAAATGCCCCTGGAGGCAGCCCACGGTGATAGTTAAAAGCATTAGCTCAAGGCTGAAAAGATCTGGGCTCAGTTCCCAGTTTTGTTATCTAATAGTTGTGCACTCTTGGGCAGGTTATTTAATTTTTCTGGACATCAACTTTCTCCTGTATTCAGTGGGTCAATCAATACCCAACCCACAGGGCTCTGTTGAGGATGAGGATAATGTATCTAGAACCTTTGGCACACAGCTGGTTACACAGGAAGCCCACCGTAAATGTCAGGGGCCATCACTATTTTCTGGGCTATGAGAAGGAGCTGAGTTCTGGTGCTGGCACAGCCCATGCGGCATCCAGGAAACCTGCCAGAGGTTGTAAGTGTCCAGAAACCAACATGCTACCCCCAAAGTAAACATCTTTTGGAATCTCACATCCTCCTGTACAAAGTATTTATGCCAACTTGAGCCTCTGGACTTGTTTTCAGCTTAAGTGAGGTCAGAAGAGAACTTAGATGACAGGTGAAAAAAATCAGGTGGGTCCTTAGCCCAAGTACAAGCTGCAACCTGGAGAAAAGTCTAAAACTAAACCGGTCCTCGTGTGGCCCCCAGCAGAACGTAAGGATGGACAGATGGGCATGCCTGGAGGGTATCTAGAAGGCTGCGGAGCACAGGGAGCTGCAGCTTGTGGCCCAGCACACAAATGAAGCCGTGAGAAATACCTTCATCCATGTCTTTGGAAAACCTGTTGAGAATCCTCCCCGTGGGGGTGGTGTCAAAAAACTTCATAGGGCTTCGAAGGATCCTTCGGAAAAGTTCGTCATGGAGCCGGGAGGAGGCTCGCAGTGTGCCCTGAGGAGTAGAGGACAAAGTGATCAGGGCCCAGAGACCCAGGGACTCCCGCAGACTCAGCTCCTGTCTATCCAGGTCACAGCTCCAGGGGACATGCCCTCGCAAAGCTGGAGAAGGGCAAACGGTCACGGAAGCAAGAGATGGGGACTCAGAAGAGCCTGAGGCTAAAGGGATACAGGTCATTTCAGCTGGGGCTGTCCTGCTTCAGAGGGGCTCCCCTGCTCCGAATTAATCTGAGAGAGGCTGACCACAGTCACTAGGGAGAGTAGACACAGAAGCCACCACTGCGTACCTTGACGAAGACAACTCCTCGAATGGCTTTCAGGATCAGCATGACGGCCATGGAGAGGGCGTAGATGCTGGCATAGTACTGCATAAGAGGGTTGTCCTTCATGCTGCTGCTCACAGACGTCTTGTTCCCATGTGTCACTGTGGCATTCTGTTTGGAGGCAAGGCTCTGTGAGGCAGGACTCCTAAGGACAGCCAAGAACTCCTTCTCGGGGTCATTCTCAGCAGCAAGGAGGGCCAAGATAATGGCCATGGGGCCTGGCTGTGGTGAACGCAAGGCAGGCTTTGCCCCCCAACTTCTCTTTTTTCTAGTGGAGGAGGGCAGATGGCCTGCAGGTGTCCTGCTGCTAACGTGAGTCGGTCAGGGATCAACTATCCTGTGAGGCCACATGAGGGGCTCATTTTTTCATCCTGGGTAATCCCCACTCATGAGTTCTTTCCAGCCAAAATTAGAGCAGTTTCCCCAAGAAGTGGCAGAGAATACAAAGGAACAGCCACATCCCGAGACATATAATTCTCCTATTAACGAGGAACCTTACCCCACTTCCTTGCTTGATCCAGTAACTCAACCACCAATTGCTGAAGGCGGTGCTGCCCACATTCAGCATGAAAAGGGATATGATGACCAGGAAAGCCAAGGGGCCCCCCGCGGCCTGGATATAGACACCATACACTGACCAGGGCACTGAACCCTGTCCCTTCTCTTCCAGTTGCACCAGCTGCCCTAGGTAAGGAAAAAACAAAACAGAATCATGAACTCAGCAAGAAAGAGCTACTTTTCCAAAACTAAGTCACCTACAGAAGCGCAAAATCAAAGAAAACCTATAGTTTCGCATGGATCTATATTAGAATTCTTTCATCCTTACTAGAATATTCTCCCACTGAACATTTACTAAGCAACACTATGCCCTGGGCCCAGGATGAGGCCCTGGAGCAGCAGCAAAGACCGTTAAGACCATGTCCCTGCCCTTAAGGTCTGGTGGAGGGTCCTTCCGCAGTCTGGCAGGACACACAGATAAAATAAACACATAATGGCAATAAAACATGCTAAAATGCAATGCTGGAGATGTATGCAAGGCAGCATGGGAACACCCAGTAGTACCTAACCTCTTGGGGGAGCAGTTTCAGAAAAGACTTTCTGCTCTCTCTATGGTCTCAAAAGGTACGCCAGCTCTGACCCGGTGGGGAAAAGGTGGGCACTGGCCCAGAAGTGGGAAAACAGCCAGCCAATTCAGCAAGGCCGGACCAGTAGTAAGTGCACCTAACAGGCGGCAGGAGACACGGTTGACTACAGAGGCCGTGGTCAGAGGACAAAGGCATCTAAACTTCATCCTTCAGACAAGAACTTCTTAGGAGAATGGGCTACACGTGTGCGGAGGTTTGACTCCCAGACTACAGATCTCTGGATGGTCAGAGGAGAAGTCTCGTCTACACGTCCCAGTGCCCAGTACACTAATGGCATTTTCTACGCATGCGCTATCAGGACCAAGATGAGGAAACGCTACTGTGAAATGGGAGGCCCTGAAAGACTTCCCACGGGAAAGCGAGTTGGTGGGTCTCCCGTTTCTTAACTAGACCTGTCAACTGTCTGCATGGGGGACAGATTTAAAAAGATGCATCTCTAACACTCTAGCTGCACAATGGTGGGGCTAGAACCAGCGTCGTGGCCCTGGGGTTGGAGGTTCGGAGGTAAATTCAGTAGGCCATGGTGACTGGAGGAGGAGAGAGAGATTCAAGGGTACCTCCTGAGAGCTCCCTGGGTTGGGGGGGTGTGGTCAGGTTACTGAGGCTGATGGAATAATACAGAGAAACAGCCCTCCAAAAAGCCAGAGTCTCTGTATCACGGGCAACGTCCAATTATCTTGGAATAAGCCTCACGTGCCTGGAGGACTTGAAGACTTGTGAGTATCCAGGATAGGGGCTCTGTGGATGAGAATAAACGTTCCCTCAGGGTTCTACTGCCGGTGCCAGGGACTTAGATGACTCAGCCTTCTGGGCTGTTTTGCCAGTGTACAGGTATCTCAAATCACACCCAATTCAGTCTCCTGCCCGGTTTATGGAAAGGAAGGGGAGTGGTGGAAAGGAAGGAGAGCGGCCGTGTGGTGTGCGCTAAATCAGGAGGGTCAACTGCTCCAACCAAACATCTGTGTGGTTTCAAGAACAAGGAAATGAAGACAGGCCCTGGGCCAAAGTCCTGATTCCTAACGTGAGGTGACCTCACAAAAGACAGTTTCACCGCAAGGCTATGCTCTTTGTTCTTTCCCTCCGGGAAACTGATAAGCGCAGCTGAAAATTCCCAAAGGTGAAAATGCCTGAGGCATTATAAATAGTTTTCCTAAGTCTCAATATTTGCTTTAGTTGATAAGATAAAGGATTTAAGAAACCTGGAGCCAGACCTCTGGCCAGTGAAAGCCAAGCAGTAAAAGCCTATGCTGTAACTCTTCAGCCGCGCCCAGCTGAAGCCTCATCAGAAAAAGCCAGGAGGGTATCATTCTAACAAGGGAGCTACTGAAGATGGAGGCACTGCTGGTGCCAGAACATCTCTGCCTGGACTGACACTGACTTTTATTTTAAAGATATTTATTTTTTTTAATTTACTTTTATTTTTTAAAGATTTATTTATTTGACAGAGAGAGATCACAAGTAGGCAGAGAAAGGGGGGGGAAGCAGGCTCCCCGTGGAGCAGAGAGCCCAATGCGGGGCTTCATCTCAGGTCCCTGAGACCATGACCAGAGCCAAAGGCAGAGGCTTAACCCACTGAGCCACCCAGGCACTTCAAGATTTTTAAGTGATCTCTACCCCTGACGTGGGGCTTGAACTCACAACCCTGAGATCAAGAGTCGCTTGTTCTAGTGACTAAACCTAGACTGGCACTGACTTTTGTTTGTTTTTTAAGATTTTATTTATTTGAGAGAGAGAGCATAAGGGGGGCCAAGGGGGTGGAGGGCAGAGGGAGTGGCAGTAGCAGACTCCCCACGAGCAGGAAGCCTGATTTGGGGCTTGATTCCAGGACTCCGGGATCATGACCTAAGCCAAAGGCATGATGTTTAAACAGCAGAGGTGAGGGGCACTTCCCTCCCCCGCCCATGCTTGCTCTCTCTCTCTGAAATAAAATCTTAAAAAAAAAAAAATAAAGAGCACAGGTGAATCACAGGAGGATGGGTGTACCTCCAACCATCATTCCATTTCTCCTTACTCAAGATGACTCAGCTATGATCACAGACACAACCCACAGTGCATAGAGAAAGCAAAATATTAAATAAAGTTCATTCTTAACTGCTTTGGTCTGTTTAAGCAAACAGAAGGGGCCTCATGATCTCCCAGTATTATACAAGAATTTGTTATTTCTGGAATAACATAAGGCCAGAGACTCCACAACACACAGTGCTGTCAAACATTATGAATGACCACTTGGTATACTTTCCGATAAACTTTAATGACAAATCTAAAATCTCATAAAAGGTCATTCATTACCTTCCTCTGGCTTCACTGCTTTCTCCTTCTTTACTGATCCTGTTTTAGGACCTTTGTCTTGTGATTTCTTCTGTGAACCACTGGTTTCTTTTTTCGAATTAATCTAATAAAAAAAAAAAGTGTCACTGGTTACAATATGGCCATTCAGACCAATGTCCACAGGACATACTGGGGAGTCATCTTCAGGCTGCTGCTATTCTTAAAAAGAGATACACCCAACCTCTTAAAAGGGCCACTTTCTTGCGCTTCCTCAAGTCCTTCCGTCCTTGAGAGCTGGGTTCTGATCCTGTTATTCCATTGACATTGCTCTTCCCAATGCTCTCTTCCCCTCCCAACTTGCCCAAAGTATTAGGGCTGGGGTCATTTCCTTTCCTCTCATCTCTGATCTCCACATCACTAAATCCAATCATACATCTGACCATTTCCCACTGCTACCACAGGATACACTCAAACTCAGCCTGGTTTTGCAAAACCTCCACATTCTGGCCCTAGCCTACCTCCATATGTTCCTCTCCTATTCCCGTGGCTTCTACTCTCCAGCCACACTGGATTTCATACCATTCCTCACACCACACTGCCATTCCCCACTTCTGGACCTCTGTCCACCCTGGTTCTTCACTTGGAATGCCCCTCCCCTCACCCTATCTTAGTTACAGTTGTTCCCCATTCAGAGGGAGTCAAATCTTAAATCCTTCCTGAGGCAACTTAGACTCCTATAGGATGAATTCACAGCTTCCCCGGTTCTCCCAGGCACTGGGTTAGGACTCTGTGATAGCATATTGCTACAAACGTGACCTGGTGTTACAGTTCCCTGTAAGAGCATAAGAGCATCAGTCTTCCCTAGGAGACCTCCCAACGAGCCCCTCAAGGATGAGATGACATCTGACTCATGGTGGTAACCAATACCAGCTCTAGCACCAAGCACTGCCCACAATAGGGCATAAAGGGACTTCATAAACATTCACCAGATTGAACCTGAGATAATTGAGGCTACATGCTCCCATTCTGAAGTTCTTCTTATTATCTTTATATAAAAAATTCCCTTAATATAGTTCAAATTTATTTATTTATTTTTTTTTTTTTTCAAATTTATTTCTTAAAAGATTTTACTTTTAAGTAGTCTCTACACTCAATGTAGGGCTCAAACCTATAACCCCAAGGTGCCTGGGTAGCATAGTTGACTGAGCATCTGACTCTTGGTTTCCACTTAGGTCATGATCTCAGGGTCATGGGATCGAACCCCGAGTTGGGCTCTGTGCTCAGTGGGGACTCTGCTTGGGATTCTCTCTCCCTTTCCCTCTGTACTCTCTCTCTCTCAAATAAATAAATCTTTAAAAAAACAAAACAAGCCTACAACCTTGAGATCAACAGTCCCGTGCTCTACTGACTAAGTCAGTCAGGCGTCCTGAGCTTACTACATTTAATTCTACGTCCTTGTCAGCCTCATGATCCCAGCTTGCTCTTCAACCAGGCTTTTTAAACTGACAGTGAAAAAAAAACAGAAAACAATGTAAAATTTAAAGTCATGACAGAACACAAGATGGGGATCTAAGTTTTGTATTCACTGTTGTGTGTGAATAAATGCACTAAAGACAGAATGATCATTTGCTGACCACTTACTAAGGTAAGATTACATATTATTTCATTTAACTGATGCAACAACTCTAAGAAGCAGGTGTCATCCCCATTTTTTTTAAAAGATTTTATTTATTTATCTGAGAGAGAGAGAGAATGAGAGCCAGTGAGCATGAGAAGGGTATGTTCAGAGGGAGAAGCAGACAACCCGCTAAGCAGGGAGTCCAATGCGGGACTTGATCCTGGCACTCCAGGATCATGACCTGAGCTGAAGGCAGATGCTTAACCGACTGAGCCACCCAGGCGCCCTGCCACCCCCATTTTTAAGATGAGGAAACTGAAGCTCGGGAAAGTTAAGTGATGTTCCTAAGGTGTGCTCTCTCTGTTGCAGTCCACCAACTCTCAATATTCTTTTGCTCCTCGGACATTTCCTAATTTAACTTCTCTCCCTCTCATTTCCCCCCTCCACGTCTACAGTGAGGAGGAAAACTTCTAAAGAGTCCAAAGCACCCTGAGAGTCAGAGCGAGAGATCATGAAATCCACATGTGGATTCGGGCATCTCTGTGGAAATTGCTAGTGACTCCCTGGAATGCTCGTTATTCCCAGAGGCCTAAACACACTGGTCACGAGTCATATTGTTTGTGAAAGGTCCCAGTAACTCTGCTTTGATCCTGTGCAGACATCAAATGACCTGGTAGCTAAGAAGCAGCCTTTAGCCTGGCTGAGTGCATGAGTGTGCCCCTACAATCCCAGGTGACCACAGAATAAGGAGCTCAAAATGAGAGCAGGGTGACAAGAAGGAAAACAACCTCTTTGGCTAGCTCTGTCTAAACAAACCCTGTTTTGGCCTAACCTGAAGCCCAGAGGAAAGCCATGGAAAGCCGCCATCTTTCTGTGTTGCCACAGGAGGCGGGATAGTGAGGTTGAAGGAGCACAGTGACGTCAAACCACCCTTGACTGTGAGCTCTTAAGGTTTCTGATCTTCCACTGCCTCAGCTATAAAAGTGGGGGATAATCCTACTTTGCTACAGAGCTCCGTTAAGATGACTACATGGGATGACACCTATGACATGTCCAACCCAGTAACTGGGACACAGTAGATGTCAGCTAATGAGGGCCAAAGTAGGCAGCCAAGGCATCAGGGATCATTTCCAAATGTACACAATATTTCTTTCCCCACCACTCCTTATTCACTTGTTTATTTAAAAAGGAGCTTCCTAATTTTCATTCAGGAATGACAGTTTAGGAAGCTCAGTTACGAATGAACAACAGCACACACTGAGCCCAAGTCCTTCTCCCTGTCATTGCTTCACTAATAAGTTCTCAGTTTCAGAAACCACCGGCCCACCAGCCCCATCATCCTGCTCTTGTGTAGCAGCACCAGCATGTGAGCTAAAGCATAGGGGTTTGGTCACCAGAAAATAGGGCCCCTGCTAATGAGACATGGACACGGAGTGCAGCTGAGATCTCTCCATCACTGGCGCTGGTCACGTCTCCCTTGCTAGAAAGAGGAGATGCCCACAAACGCCATGCGAATCTTACCTCAACTGGGGGTGTCTCTCCCAGCAACAGGTTGTTAAAGATGGTGGCATAATCACCATTCAAGTTCATCAGTTCCTCGTGGGTGCCTCTTTCTGTAATACAGCCCTCCTTCATGAAGATCACTTCATCGCAATCCGCCAGGTACTGGAGACAAAGCCAGGGACGACGCAGTGTTGCAGACAGTGGTGCAAACACATTCAACACCCCCCTTCCCGCCACTCCCCGCTTCAGGGGTTCTCATCTGGAGTCAACTGAGCCTCCCAGGGCACATCTGGCACACTCTGGAGCCCTTTTCGGTTGCTACAATGGGGGCTGGGGGCCGCTGTCATCTAGTGGATAAAGGCCAGCAATGGACAGGATGGCCCCCCAACAATAAACAGCCATCTGGCCCCAAATGGCAATAGTGCCAAGAGCAAGAAAGCCCGGCTTTAGTTTACTGCGCCTTGTGATGCGGTTCAAAGAGCATCGCCTCCGGTTTTTGACACAGATCTGTCGACAGAGCCATGCAAGACTCGCACTAAACTTCGCACCCCTTCGCCGTGCCCAGAAACACAGTTACAGATTTTCTGCGGCAGGATGGGGGATAAGCCCCCTAGAACTGACAACATATGCAAAGCAGACAGCAACATCCTGGAGCTGCTCTCCCAAGTGGCTGCTTGTCTTGGCATGACAGAGGGAAAAGAGCTTGTTTTCCTTAAACAGTTCCCACTTGCATATAGATACTAACATGACGCTTTCCAAATTCCCTCTGCCCAAACTCCAGTTGCAGCCTACTCCTCTCAGCCCTTTTACTTACTGATTTATATGCAAAAGCTAACAGGCTCCAAGGATCTCTAATTCAGATGGCCATCTGGTACATCGGTACGAGGAGCTTTATTGGTACAGTGGGCCAGGGGCTATTTGCTGAGGAAATAAACACTGATGATTCCAGGAAGCTCTAAGGAGTTCCACCGAGGGACCTGAACCAAGCCCACTTCCCTGTTTCTGATTTCCTAAGCCGAGGTGGGCAGCCTGGGGAAGAACGCCTCATACCTGTAACTGGTGGGTGACAAACAGAACCGTCTTGGACTTGAGGTGTTTCTGGATAGCACTGTTGAAGATGTGGTTGCCCACGTGGGCATCTAAGGCACTGAGGGGGTCATCCAGGATGTAGATGTCCCGGTCACTGTACAAGGCCCGGGCCAGGCTGATCCTTTGGCGCTGCCCACCACTCAGGTTCGCTCCTCGCTCGCCAATCTACAGGAGTCCAGAAAGCACAGGGAAGCCTCCAGTTCAAGTCCAGCACCAAGCTCAGCCATCCCTCCGGTCACTGCTCCTCGGCTCCACTCAAACCCGTTCCTTCTACTGAATTCTGCCCCCAGAAGATGTGCCACTCTGATCCTCCAGGGCCCACGCTGGAACTGTGCCAGCCCAGAGGAAGACAACTCTGCCACTTCCAGAACTCCCCCCTTGACATATAACTACAATCCATTCTCTGGGGGCAGAAAGATCTTTCCAAAGCACGAAGCTGACCATGTCCCACCCTCGCTTAAAACTCTTTCAAGAGCCCTACAAAATAAAACCTAAGCCAACATGTCATAGAAAGCAGGCCCTTTGCCACCTGGCTCTGCAGCAGCTCTCAGCCTCCACTGCCAGACAACCTCTCTTCCGCTTGCTGGCAGCTCTGCCATTTTGAATAGTGTGTCCATTATGAATCCTCATGCTACTGTCATGCCTTTTCTGTATTGTATCTGCTCAGCTCCAGCACCCTCTCCCTGTGAGACCTCCCCCACCCCCATCTCTACTACTGCCCAAAAGAAAGGGGACTCTTTTTTAAAATTTTTTTTTTAAGTTTTGGAAGCTTTAATCAGCTTATTTGATAGTTATTTGTCAACCGTAAGCTTTTTGAGGGCACAGAACATTATCTGATTCCTTTATACTCCCAGTGCCCAGCAGCTTCTACACATGGAGCTGGCACAGGATAAGCCTCTGGTCAATGTTACTAAATGAACACATGAATAAAGCAATTGTCAAATGGTAACTGGCTGTGTAACTAAAAAACAAACAGAAAAAAGAATTTGTCCTTAAAAAAAAAAAATTCATTGAATTTAGAGTTTTCAAATTGGAGCATGTATCAGGATTCCCCACAAGGCTTGCTGAAACAGATGGTTGGGCCCTGCCCCTAGAGTTTCTGACTCAGTAGGTGTGGGGTGAGGCCCAAAAATCTGCATCACTAACCAGCTCCCAATAACACGGTTGGTGCTTATCCACTATGGGTCTAGGGACTAAAATTTGAGAACCGGTGAACTAATGAAACCATGTACCAAATCTGGTTTGAAGGATTTAACTGAAGTCAGCTGCATAAAATGGCAGCTCCGGAGACTTTCAGGGCAGGTCATGGGAAACAAGTGTCCACACCAAAGAACACAAGCCAGTGCCAAAGACACACCTCTGCAAACCGCTCTGGGGCAGAGAGCCAAAGAAAGAGGTTTTGTGCTAACTCCTCTCTCTTTCTAATTGAAGAGGGCTCCTTACAAACTGTGTTATGAGTAAGGAGGTTGGCTGGCAGAATGAAGTTCAGAGAAGAACCTCAACAAGCACATACTTGACTTATGGTTTTTAAAATAGTGTAGAGAACACTGACTCTGAACCAACAATGGGATTTTGTTTAAAATCAACATGACATAGAGGGTGCCTGGGTGGCTCAGTTGGTTAAGCGTCCCACTCTTGATTTGGGCGCAGGGCATGCATGATCTCAGGGTTGTGAGATCAAGCCCCGTGTCTGGCTCTGTACTGAGTGTGGAGCCTGCATAAGATTCTCTCTTTCCCCCTCTCCCTCCATCTCTCCCCCGACCCCCACCATGTGCACACACATTCACATACACTCTCCCTTTCAAAAAAAAAAAAAACCCCACATGACATGAGAAATATTTATATGCTTAAAACAAGTAGTGTTGATAACCTTGCCTTAAGGAACAAGAGCTTTCTGAACGCAAAGTCCCAGTGAAAGCTGAACTCCCTGTGTAGCCACTCCCACATTTAAGACACATTACTAGGAGGTGGCTCTGGCACCGGCCTGCCACCCATCTTCTAGAATCCTCTCCGCTCAACACACTGCCCCACCAGGGGCAGAAGGTCTGTACCTCAGTCAGGTCACTGTTGGGAAGAATGGCCAGGTCGGGCCTCAGGCAGCAGCTGTTCAGCACAGAGTTGTATCTGAGGGACATAAAGAGACTTGGCATCAGGGACCTGATTGGAAGTAGAGCCTGCTGACGTGGGCTGCCTTGCGTCTCACATGGCCAAGACGGATAGCATGACAGAAACCAAACATTCCTTGCCTTTCTTCATCAAATTCCTTCCCAAAGAGGATGTTGTCTCTCAGAGTGGCATTGAGGATCCAGGCCTGCTGGGCCACATAAGCGAAGGTTCCACTGACTGCAATGCTGCCCTCTAGAAGTGTCATCTAGGGAGACAGACACCATCCAATGGCATCATGATGCAAAACCACCACCCTAAGCCAACAGAACCCCCCACAATTCCACAACGGAGTTAAAAGTTTGGGAATTTCCTTGGATGCTTTTTGGACCTGAATCCTGACCTCGCCTTTGTTCCACAGCGAGCTACAGCAGCAAAGAAAATAAAAGTTCTCCTTGCTTATGTGTGATGGGAATCCCATGTAATCTATGACTGGAGAGAACAAACACTTCATTCAGCAACCCATAAGCTACCCTTTCTTCCTAATTACAAACTCTTTTAACTAAGGGAAGGACTGGAGCGGAAGGCTCTCTCAGAAGTCCCTTGGGGACGGTGCTACAAGGATTTAGAGCTAGTTCCTGCCACAGTTCATCTACAGAATTAATTAATCCAGGCTGTTGGCTAAAGCAGCTGCTTCTGTAAAATGAGGACCAAAGAGGAAGAAAATCGTTAGACATCAACTACTATTACAGAGTATCCATTTAATAAGGATGGACCCTCTCGTTCAACAGGAAGAGACTGCGTGATGAGCCCCGTGCTTCGAACTGTGTTTTCAGCCACAGTGACTGATATGATTTATGCTTTTTGTCCTCTTTCAGGTTTCCTTTTGGGACTGACAGTAGACGTTGGTCCTGGGTCAGGAATGTGCTAGCTTGAAACAAAGTTTAGTTACCCAGCCTGCACATCCAAGCTTGTCCTCTCCAACACCATTAACTGCACCCACCACTACAGTGGTACCAACTCCCCACAAACTGGTCGGCTCACTGTCTGCACCCAAAGCGTTCAGAAACCCACGGAGGGTCTCCTGTGGAAATTCAACTCTTCTAGCTGCTGCGGCATGAACAGCCACACTGCAGAAAGCCAACAAGGAGTGAAACTCCCAAGAAGTCAGGCCCACGAGCATTACCAGCCTCCTTGTCAGAGAGATCGCTGTCAGGATGTGGCGTTGAAGCAAAGTCCCATTCTGTCTTCACCCTAACCATCACCCACTCAGTACCACCTCCCCCTTCATTTCCCCTGTGTCTCTCATCATGGACCCTTACATCTGACCCAGAAATGATCAGTGTCCCTAGGAGGCTTTGGCTGTCTGCAAAGACCAAGGGCTGAGTCCAACCAATGGACACTCTCACAAAGCAGTGTGGGGGCGGGGGGGCTGTGGCTCCAAATGATTTGGGAGCAGGCCTTCCTCAGACCACACTGGGGATCACTGCTCAGGCGGAGAGCCACACTCTACCAACTGTGACAGCGACACTGTACCAAACAAAATATTCCATAACGGGGACACTATGAAACAACCTTCCCCAGCACCATCTTGCCTGTGTTTTATTTCCTCAATATGGAGAAATGACTCATTGGACCTTATCCATAGGCAGATAAGAATAAGCTTGCTTATCCCCATCTCTACCATCAGAGTCAAGCTAGTCTGATTCAAGATTAAAAGCAGGTGGAGGGGCGCCTGGGTTGCTCAGTGGGTTAAAGCCTCTGCCTTCGGCTCAGGTCATGATCCCAGGGTCCTGGGATCGAGACCTGCATCAGGCTCTCTGCTCAGCAGAGATCCTGCTCCCCCCTCACTCTCTCTGCCTGCCTCTCTGCCTACTTGTAATCACTGTCTGTCAAATAAATAAAGAAAATCTTAGAAAAAAAAAAAGCAGGTGGAAATACCTTGTTTATTTTCCCTAGCATTCAATTTTAAAACACAGGAAAAGACAATTTGCCTTAGCGGGATGATCCTTGCCCCAGCCCCCACTCTAAACCCTGACAGCCCTCTGCTGGGCCCTCTGTGAACCATTCACTCTCTGCTCTGTGCGATGCTTGTGTCTGGAAGGCACAGCTCCCCAGCTAGGCCATCAGCTCCCAAGGGCATAATTCTTTCAATGGTCAGGTTGTAAACGGAGTGGGGCTTTGCTTCTAGATCAAGTCCTGACAGCAATCTCTCTGACAGGGAGGCTGGTAATGCTGGCGGGCCTGGCTTCCTCACTCTGTTGGCAGAGTGTTACCTCTTATCTCTGACATTTCCCAACACACTGTCTGGCATACAGACGGCACTCTATAAATACTTGCTGAATAAAAGAAGGCAGCTGAAAGAGACGGCTCCAGCTAGGTATCAGTCAGTCACTCCTCAGGCATCCAATGACCCCACTCCCAGATACGATGCTGATAAGGGGCGGGAACATGGAGATGGGGGCAGGACGCAGGACACAGACCAAGGGTTCACTTTGCTTCTACCGCTCCTGACTCTTCGGGAAGTCAGTTCATTCTTCCCAGGACTCTTGTGCGGCACATTCCAGAGAAAGAAACAGAAAAGGCCAAGGACAAAACAAAATATTACCTGGCCTAAAATGGCTGAAATCAGAGAGGTTTTTCCACTTCCCACACTGCCGCAGATTCCAACCAGTTTACCCTGGACAAAGCACACAGAGAAAGGAAGGTCATGAAAGGGTCACAGACCACTATCTCTGGGAACTGCTGACTTCTTCCAGGAAAAACACGCTGACAGTCCATCAATAGGGGAAGGATCATCCTGGCGAGTCACTTACCTGTCTCCTCCCTGTCAGCCAACTACTTCAGAGGGCTTCTGCAGGGCACATGGAGGAGGGAACAAATGTAGAAACCTTTCAAACACTTAAATAAGCCACACACAGGAAGGTATCCCACACCACTTTTAGAAAAGCCCAGCCTCTTTCTTACTTTTTTGGCTACCCATGTTTTGTGATTATTAATTTTTGTTGTTTTTGGAAACGAGGGCAGGACTCTCGAAAATTATTTTGTTGGTTTTCATTTCATTTTATATGATGTTTTCCTCTACAGTCTATAAATTATTTTCAATAAAAACTATGTGCACTGTTGTTTCCATTTTTTTACAAAACATTCCCAAGGATCTGAAGACTACTAAAACCATCAATCCCACTTAAAAGCAGGGGGGGAAAAGGCTGTGATTAACTGAGTATCTCCAGGCAAAATAGTAAGTTCTCAACAGGTGGTGGTCAAAGTTTTCAAGAACGGGCAAGTGATTTCAAAAGGGCCACTTGCTTAGCAACCAGTCCCACAGCAAAGGAAGGGAGAGTGGTGTGCAGTAGAGCGTGGATCCTGGGGGCAGCCAGGTCTGGAGTGGAACCCCAGCTCCACTAACACCTGTCAACCGTGCGCTCGTAATCTGGTCACTTCCACAGTCTCTCTCTCACTGGGCTTTGAGCAACTTGAAGGAAGGAGTGATCTTTATAGAACCAAGTACAGTATCTTGGACTAAGTACGTTGGACAAAGTTTCTGACATGGCCCTGGAGTCTGAAAGATTACAGCCTGATGGTAATGAGAAGACCAAGTCAAAGGTTGGATCTCTGCTCACGTCAGTGAGGTTTACACAGAGAAAGCTCTGTTCTCAGGACTCCATGGGACTGACAGAGATACCAACAATGAAGTGCCCCGGGCGAACATTAACTTCCCTTCCCCTCCCTGAAGGGGGTTGCTGGAAGAATAAGGACCCCCTCCGAACAGCTAAAGGTCTGTCATGTGGCTGTGGGCTCTGAAGGGCAGGAGGAGGATCGGACAGAAAGCAGAGAGTACATTTCAAGCTGAATGAGGAATAATGCTCTAACAGGGCTGATGAGAAATGTAATAGAGCTGCCTCAATGATCAAGAACATCATTATTAAATAAGAAGACCGTGGTTAAGAGTTAACTGAAGTCAAAAATGGACGTGCGGGGTGGCCAGTGATGACCTACACTAGTGGTTTCAGGTGCTGTCACGAGGCACCCTCTCCTGCTCTTGTCGACAGCTTTCAAGAGCGGGAGCTTTTTGTTCTCTCTTCCGTCTGGCTCTGGGTCCAGAGGATACAGAAGTCAGATCACATCATTCTCCAAACCCTCGCACGGCTTCTCCCACTCAGAGTAACGGCAAAGTTGTGGCAGGAGGCTCTGGTATCCCAACCTTCTCTCGGCCCCCAGCATCTGCCCTCCTCTCCCGTGCTCACTGCTGGGGAACAGGCCCGCTGCAGACTCGGGGCCTCTGCTTCTGTTCCCTCTGCCCGGAATGTTCTTCCTCCAGATACCCACATGGCTCCCGCCCTCCTGTCCTTCCAGCCTTTGCTCAAATACCGCTTTTTAAATGACGCCCTCCCTTCAGGCAGCCTATTGAAATTGCAATCGCACCTGCTCCAGGCCCCAGTACTGTCTCATCCTCAGGGCCCTTATCACCATCTGACAGACCATGCATTGTACTGGTTTACTATCTGTCCTTGCCCACTGAAACAGAAGCTCCAGGAGCAGAGGTTTTTGTCCATTTGCTTTCCTGCGGCTACAGCCCCAGGCCCACAACAGTGCCTGGCAAGCCTGCCCTCAGAAATCCGCCCATGAGCTAACAGATACACATACATCTCAGCCCCTCTGAATGGTGCAGCTGGTTCCCAGTCACAGACTGTGTCTGCAAAGCCCTGAACTAGAATCTCTTCCAGCCACTCTGCACAGGAGCCCCTCGGAGAGACTCCAGTCCTCTGCTACCCAGGCTGTGACGTCACACATCCTAACGACTTCATTTATGTGAAAGATCAACAATCATAGAATCAGTATGTTGTACACCTAAAACTAACGTAACATTGGCTACTAATTATGCTGCAATAAAAGCAGGTAAGGAAGTAGGTAAATAATTACAGGAGATTTGTCAATAACAGCAGCCCTGAGAGTTCTTACACGGACCAGGGTCTGGGCTCTGCACAGCCTACTGGTAACGAGAGGCTTGCCCAGAGTCATCATAACCAGAAATAATTATTACAGCTCACATACAATTAGAATCTATTCAGGGACAAGTCTTGGAGAATCCACTTGAATGCTCATTTCCTTGCTTATAAAATGAGCATCTCGTGAGATGAGTTGGTAGGAAGTTCTTCTGTTAGATGCCTAACTACTCCTTTGTGGAGCTGGAGCTGGCCACATCTGCTCCTTAGTCGCACACCAACTAACCCAGGCTCAGCCCACGGGTACCCTGGTGCAAGGAAGGTGGCTGTCTGCTCTTGCGGGAAGGGAGGCCTGCGGATACCCGCAGACAGACGGGGTGCGGGTGGGGACAGGAGGCACCAGCTTACCTCCTCGATTTCCAGGTCGATGCTGTACAATGTCCTCTGCAGGCGGAGGCTTCCCAGATGGATGTGCTTGCCCTCGTCCTCCTCGGGACTGGGCTGCTCACTGTCCAGGAGGAGGTGGCCTTTCTGCTCTGCCAGCACGGCCTGCTGCTCGGCGCGCTGCAGCTGTCTCCCCTTCTCTTTCTTGCCCCTGGCAGCCCTCTTGTCTTTTTTCGTTTTGGGGGTCAGCTTGGGTGAGTTCTGGATACTGGAGTGGGAGGAGTCCCATGCCAAGGTGGCATTTTTCACCTCTATCTTGATGTGAGGGCTGGCTGGCTTTTTCTCTACCATGTGAACCTCTTCCATCAGAAACAAACTCTGATAGGAGTTGTGAGAGAGGTGCAAAGATGAGACACTGGACCAAGACCAGGGGGACAAGCCTAGGGCGCACACTCACGTGGCAAAACACATCAGGCTATACAGTGGAAGGAAGCTGAAGGGCAAAAGGTAGCTCATTAGTGTAGCCCAGCCTCAGGCCCAGTGAGAGGTCACGGGGGTGTGGGGACACCCTCAGGAGGGACAGGGGCCTGTTCAGTGGCCCAGCGTTCTACACTGCCAATCACGTCCTAATCTACCTTTCCCTGTCTACTACTAATAGAGGGTGCTCAAAGTGCATTTAACTAACCCGTAGGCAGCCCCTCATTCTCACCCATGACTTGCCGAAGAGCAGGGGGTCAAATGCAAGCAGAAAAACCAAAGGGCATGCTGCTCTCCTAGACGGACCCTCATGGCTCCGTTTCCCTTCCAGAACACTCCCGCGGAGCCTCAAACCTGTGCACTTCCCTCACCAACCACACACCACAAGTGCGTGGGGACAGGTGATCCGAGATGGTGACCATGCCTAGCTTGCTTGGGTTCATCGCTGGCAAGCTCTCATTACTTCAAAGTTCTGCCTTGAAACTTGTGAGGATTCAAACAACCAAAGGAACGGACTTGGGGGGAAGTGAAGGGAACCTCTCTCAGAAATATCCTTGGGAAGACAGCTAGACTTTCCTCCCACTCATTCCCAGAGTCCCTCTGAGTTATGTTAGGGATGAAAAGTGGAATGATTGAAAAGCTAAGTATTTCTGAAATGAGATCTGAAACACTGACTATAGTAAACCTTATTGTAGGTGCCCATGATCTTGAACCCACTTCTGACAGTTCCTTAAACTGCAGATCTTCACAGAATGCTATCCCAGTTGGATTCTCATATGGTAAAAATAATAATAATAATGAGTAATAATAATAATTTAAAAATCTTTAACATTTGAAAGACTTTCAGGGTCAGGACTCTGCTTATTGACTGAGAACCCCCAACTATTTTAAAGTTTGCAAGGTGTTATTAAATGAAACATATAATCTCCCTCCCCTAGAGCAAGTCTTTTGTCTTAGATCCTAAACTCCAAGCTTTGACTGCCACATCTCCTACCCATTCCTAATTTCCAATCTTCCTAGAAGTCTCATGGTTCTAAATACCCTCGATAACCTTTACTCTTCATCAGCCTTAGGTTTAATTTTCCAAAAACAGCTACTGATTTCATTTATTCAGTGACTTATGAAAAGACTGAGCTAAGAATAATGTGCCAAATATTTTCACCACTTTCACAGAGTAAAACCATACGCTAACCAAATTCCCACCATTTCTCTCCTTTAAGGAGTTATTAAAGGGATCTTTCAGGCCTCATAGACTATTAAAAAAATAAGTCAGTGCTCCAGTTTGCACAGCTCCTTCTCCCCATATCCTTCCCATGGGCTCCCTGCAGCCTGTCCTCCTCCTGAGACATGTGGAGGCACCCAATGGGCTCATAACACTTGAAGTTACATCTACTTGGATTGGCACCTGCCAGGACAACAGAATCTTTGAGGTACATAAACCATAAACCTCAACTTTACCATAGGACACCAATTATCAAAACAGAACTCTCATGCACAGGGCACTTGGGTGGCTCAGTGGGTTAAGCGTCCACCTTCGGCTCAGGTCATGATCCCAGAGTCCTGGGATCGAGCCCCGTGTTGTGCTCCCTGCTCAGTGGGGAGACTGCTTCTCCCTCTCCCTCTCCCTGCACTTCTGCCTGCTTGTATGTGCTCTCTCTCTCTCTCTCTCTCTGTCAAATAAATAAATAAATAAATAAATAAATAAATCAATCAATCTTTGGGGGGGGGCACAAAAAGAACCCTCATTCACCCAGAATGTGTCTGTTGAGGAGAAGAGAAGACAGAAGGTTGCTGGATAAAATACAGGACATCTAGTTAGATTTTAATTCTATATAAACAATGAATAATTTGGTAGTATAGGTATATCCCATGCGGTTATTAACTAACTGGGGGTCCTGTCTTTTTATTTGCTCAAGCTGGCAACCCTATATTGACAATAATCTTAGAAATGTCACAAAGTGGCTTCTTATGGCCTTTCCACCTGTTATCATCTTCCCAGCAGGTAGAGAAGGAGGGGGAGGGGGAAGGAGGAGGAAGACGAGGGGCAGGAGGAGCCTGCCAAGAAGACAGAAAAGAACTGAAGCCTCAAGGGGCATGTAATACAACTGTGGGTGATTTTGCTTCTATTATTAACCCTGAAGTTCTCTGGATAGAGGAAGGATAGAGGAAGGAGCTGTGGTGTGAAATCCACCTGGGAATCCACCTGGGAATGCAAGTCCTCACCAGTAAACGGAAGAGAAGAAAGCCCTCAAGAAACACAGGGCGAACAAACCTATACTATCAATTCTTACTGTTTCATCCCAAATGCTACCAAATCCATTCTAACAAGGACAGGGGGACAATCAAAACACAGGCTTTCTTCCACGACTAGGTATTGTAGACTCAGCAAAAGAAAGCTCTGATTACAATTAGACCATTTCTTTTCTATGGCTCTGGCTCTTTGCCTTCTAGCAGCTAGGCTGGAGGGAGGGAGGGCACAGAGCTGGGGATGCATTCTTGAGGACTGGCTTTTTTGCCCAAACAAAATTCACCCTGTTAACTGTAAACAAGCAGAATCCAAATAAATCCTGGAAAGCTCTTCTCCATTCTTCATATTCTCCATGAGTCTCAATCGCTTTCTTCCCTCCGAACATCTAAGGTGATGATATGAACGCCTATGAGCCTCAAGCCTTCAAAGCAACCAGCATCGCTTCCGCCTTGTTCTCACTAGCCAAGAAGGCTTGGCAGGAGTGCACGAGCTACTCCTTGCAGGAGCGTTGTCAAGGAATTCCAGCCCACCAGGTGCTGCTTCTTTTTAAAAAGTATTAACCACTTTCAAATATCTTTCAAATATCTCTCCCCTCACCCTCCCAAATCTATCAACCTCTTGTATCACCTATTTGTATGAAGGCATAAAGAACACAGTCGAAGTATGATCAACTAACCACCTCCAGAAAAAAACCTGGTCTTTCCTTAGCTGCACTTTGCAACATGATGTCACTGTATGACTATTCCCACCTCACTGCATTCCCTGCATTGTGAGTGGCGACTACAGGGTAGGAAAGAGAAAGCACGGAAAAGGGCATAGCATGTTGACCAATCAAAATGACGACAGCATTTTGGTAGAGGTCGACAGTAGACCAAGGTGAGGAAAAGCTGACAGTCCCCCTACGGGTCTGATCTTCCAGGTCTGAGTCACTGAAAGGCCCAGGAAGTTTTAGGACATATACCCAAATCAGGCCCAGGAAGAAAGGCCTCGCTTTGAAGGGGAACAAAATCCTGGGGGCCCAGAACTAGATGGGCTGTTGACAAAATGTAAAATTTCACATTCACTTGAAAAGGTAACTAGCTCCATCCCTTAATTCACTCCTGTCTACTGCCCCCTTTCGTACCAACTGGACAGAAGACCAGATGTGGACAAAAACCAAGTATGGCACCCTGTGTGGCCCATTGGGATAAAGGCAGCAGTTAGCTCTGCCAGGGAAGGCTCCTAACATGAAGGAGGGGAAAGGAGCCACTTACCTTAAATCTGTCAACAGCAACTGATGCTTCCGAGAGGGATTTTACGGAGAATGGTGTTACTTTCAAAGCAAAAGTCATGGAATTGAAGACAGTCACCACTGTGAAAGCCTGAAAATAGGAAAAGGAAAGACACTGAGCTTGATTAGAGACTGCAACAAAAATAACAAGACATCGATTTCCTTTCAGATGTAAGGAAGGCAGCAACCTGACTATCAAGTTGGTAGGAGTCACAAATGCTTTTTTTAAGATTCATTTATTTATTGGAGAGTGAGAGTGAGCATGTGCATGTGAGTCGGGGAGAGGGGCAGAAAAGGAAGGAGAGGGAAAATCCCAAGGAGACTCCTGCTGGGTGTGGAGCGCAACCTAGGGCTTGATCTCATGATCCTGAGATCATGACCTGAGCCAAAATCAAGAATTGGACGCTTAACTAACTGAGCCACCCAGGCACCCTACATATGCCTTTTTTTTTTTTTAAAGATTATTTATTTATTTGACAGAGAGAGATCACAAGTAGGCAGAGAGGCAGGCAGAGAGAGAGGAAGGGAAGCAGGCTCCCTGCTGAGCAGGGAGCCCGACGACGCAGGGCTCGATCCCAGGACCCCGGGATCATGACCTGAGCTGAAGGCAGAGGCTTAATCCACTGAGCCACCCAGGCGCCCCGCCTTTTTTTTTTTTTTTTAAGGAAGAGCTTTTATAAGACCTTCAATTAAAATTCTCAGTAAATTTGAACCAAAGGATGATTTGTCTTTTCAGAATTAAATCCAAAGTTGGGTTGACTTAAAATAATCCATACGTTATTTGTGCTTAGGGCTAAATCCCCATTCTTCTCCTTCTCCGCTTAATCACATGAAAGAAAAAATACCTTCTGGTTACTGGGGACTCCTCCAAATCCAAAAAGAAGAGGACCAGAGCAGTTCTACATGTAGTATTTCTAAAATCTTCCCAAGCCCTGACGGTTCACTGACCTGTGCTGCTGTGAGATCAAAGCCAAGGGTCATGTGAACAGAGAAGGTCACCACACTGGCAATCACCATCACAATGGGAGCCACACCAACGGTGATGCTCTGAAAGTACCCAGCTTTTTCCAAGATCCGACGCTCCTCCTCTCGGATTTCTAAAAATAAAAAGCAAGCCAACTGCTGAAAAGCAAGCCAATTTTAAAGCAAGTCAAAAGAAACCATGGGATATTGGTCTTCTGTCACCAAAGAAGACTTGGTAGATCTTCAGCCACATAGGTTTTTTTTTTTTAATGTTTTTATTATTGCTTATTTTTTAAGTTAACTTTTTAAAAAAAAATGTTATTTATTTATTTATTTTCAGCATAATAGTATTCCCTGTTTTTGCACCACACCCAGTGCTCCATGCAATCCGTGCCCTCTCTAATACCCACCACCTGGTTCCCCCAACCTCCCACCGCCCCCCACCGCCGCTTCAAACCCCTCAGATTGTTTTTCAGAGTCCATAGTCTCTCATGGTTCACCTCCCCTTCCAATTTCCCCCAACTCCCTTCTCCTCTCTAACTCCCCTTGTCCTCCATGTTATTTGTTATGTTCCACAAATAAGTGAAACCATATGATAATTGACTCTCTCTGCTTGACTTATTTCACTAAGCATAATCTCTTCCAGTCCCGTCCATGTTGATACAAAAGTTGGGTATTCATCCTTTCTGATGGAGGCATAATACTCCATAGTGTATATGGACCACATCTTCCTTATCCATTCGTCCGCTGAAGGGCATCTTGGTTCTTTCCACAGTTTGGCGACCGTGGCCATTGCTGCTATAAACACTAGGGTACAGATGGCCTTCTTTTCACTACATCTGTATCTTTGGGGTAAATACCCAGTAATGCAATTGCAGGGTCATAGGGAAGCTCTATTTTTAATTTCTTGAGGAATCTCCACACTGTTCTCCAAAGTGGCTGCACCAACTTGCATTCCCACCAACAGTGTAAGAGGGTTCCCCTTTCTCCACATCCCCTCCAACACATGTTGTTTCCTGTCTTGCTAATTTTGGCCATTCTAACTGGTGTAAGATGGAATCTCAATGTGATTTTAATTTGAATCTCCCTGATGGCTAGTGATGATGAACATTTTTTCATGTGTCTGATAGCCATCTGTATGTCTTCATTGGAGAAGTGTCTGTTCATATCTTCTGCCCATTTTTTGATATGATTATCTGTTTTGTGTGTGTTGAGTTTGAGGAGTTCTTTATAGATCCTGGATATCAACCTTTTGTCTGAACTGTCATTTGCAAATATCTTCTCCCATTCCATGGGTTGCCTCTTTGTTTTCTTGACTGTTTCCTTTGCTGTGCAGAAGCTTTTGATTTTGAGCCACATAAGTTTTAAAACAACTCTTTAACACCCATGATGCAAAACCCAGGTCAGCTTGACTATCAGTTATTACTATTAATGCTGGTACATAAGCCTGAGGTTTGAAATGGGATCAAGTCACAGAATGAATCTAACAGAAACCAGTCCCCACGTATCAGTGCAATGAACACCTTCTGCTTTCGCCTGATTTTTCTTGCAAACATCTTACATCTAGAAGGAATGGACAGGGTAATTGTATCTGCAAATGGCTCTTTTGTTTGCCTGTCTGGTTGTTGTTTATTTCCAGTAAACAACAGAAAAGACTACAACCATGGTAATGGAGAATTTAAAGAACTCAGATTTACTACAGCGCCCACCGTATGTCAGTGCTGGGTAGAGGCTTTCACACCAAAGGCAGTGAGAATGATTGACAGAAGGTGAGTGAAATATAATTTTTGTAGGCAGAAAGATTTTTCTTAAGTATTTGCAAAATGGAGACCCTTATTAACACAGCAATCCTAGAGAACTAAAGACCATGGAGTAGGAAGTAGGACAATAAAGTAGCAAGTTTTGTGTATGTGTGTGTGTGTGTGTGTTTAAAGTTTTAAACACAAAAGCGATTCTTCTGAGAAACACTGTACTGACCTTAAAGGTATTACCACTGCTCAAGACACTGGGAACTATCTTCAGAGCTAGCTCAGAAGTCCTATTTAAAAAAATCTAACCCATTGCTTTCACATTGACCATATGCCTTGCCTAAGTCCATATGAGAAAGAATACTCTTGTCAAACCAATATACACTAAAGTCAGGGGCTGAAGGATGAGTAGACTCTCATTATTCAAATTATGAAACCACAGAATGAGAGAGGCAGAAAGGACCATCAGCAGTCACTCTGCCTACAACATGCCTGGAGGCTACCCAGTTCGCAACCATTGGTTCCACTCCACTGACAACCACCTCACTACTCAACAAAGGACCACTGACTGATAAATCAAGTTTTATGAACTGGACACAACATTCCTGAAGATTTCATCGATAAATCAAACAGTTAAAAAAAAAAAACAGTTTCATTGATCTGAACACTGGATTTCTACCCAACCTAAAACTGCATTAACTTTTTTTTTTAAATTTTATTTATTTGACAGACAGAGATCACAGGCAGGCAGAGAGAGAGGAAGGGAAGCAGGCTCCCTGCTGAGCAGAGAGCCCGACTTGGGGCTCGATCCCAGGACCCCAGGATCACGACCTGAGCCGAAGGCAGAAGCTTTAATCCACTGAGCCACCCGGGCGCCCCAAACTGCATTAACTTTTAACTTTTATAACTGCCACATATTCAGATTAGCTCACTATGAGGTGATGGTCAATGGACAGCCCTCATCTCTTATACTTAAGTAAGTTTCAATGGATGACTTTTTTCAACTCTAAAGCGCCTTCAAATACACCCTTCTTAAATGCCACCTTTTTAAAGCCCATCATTCTGACTTCTGTTGAGACCTTTTTGAAAGTCCAGTCTAATGCTAATTATTCCTCCAAGCGTTGTGGCATTCCCATATTAGACATGTTTATGTCTGCACTGAATTGACTGATCAGGATAAGCAGGATAGGGCCAGGATGGGGCCTTGAGACTCAACGTAAGTCAATTATTAGAAAAGATAAAACTAAAACAACAAACCCAAAACCCCGGTGACTGAGGAGCTGTACTAGGCCCAGACTCCAGCTGTCCTGACCCCCAGCAAGGCCCTTCTCCCCCTGCCCCAGGATCTCACACCTCACACGTCTCATGCCTGTGATGCGCCTGCACCTGGGATGGGAGGGAAGCGGGGAGCTCTCAGAAGCCACTTGGTGTTGTTTTCTGTGATGTCTTCATAGCCAGGCCATAAAATATGGGCAGGATGACAGTATAGATGGGGTGGGGGGGGCTGCTTTGAAATTGAATGAATTGCTTAAAACTAGCTAAGTTACCGTGGAGGGAAAAAAACACAATTTTCCGGTCTTAATTTCCTCCCATGTGAGATGAGATTATGAGTTCAAGTCTCTAAGATTCCTTTCAATATAAAGGTAGCAAGATATTATAAGAAGCTATTATGATCCTATGACATTAGGGTTCCTAGCAACTAATGTGCTCAGAAGCAAAGACCTTCTACAACATGCACATATGAAAGTTGTAAACTCACTTTGAACACTCTGAGAAAATGCTTTGACCCAGGCATACATTTTAATAAATTTAATGTACGTGAGGACTTCATTCATCTTCTGGACACGTTCATCCGTTGTGGTCACACATTTTCTCCTGAAATATGCAGTGATCCGTGATACAAACATCTGAAAGGAAAAGCGACATCATGCCAAGTCAGGGCTTATTCAAACTTAACAACTGTCTAGTCTTTCTGGGAAACAAAGCTGCTTAAGATTATGATAAATAAAATGAGCACCATGTAGTTGCACTGCCTTTTAATAAAATTGGTCTATTAAATCGTAATAAAATATTATCTAATTCTTATCTCTTTGCAAGGAAGTTAAACAAACTTCCTTACAAACAAACTTTGTTCTCATAGCAATTATGGTTACTGAGTGTTACCAAAGAAAAGCAGAAAAGCCAAATCGGTTAGCATCAAATTGAGACAAAGAGACTCAGACGCTCTCGTGTTCCTAAGGGCAGAGTTCACCTGCTGGTCTCCTCCTTCACTCAGACAGACTCTTTTTATTAAATCTCATTAAGAGTCATGGGCTTTATTCATAGGACACCCTACTTCCTCTCCAGACAAAATTCTGCCTCTAGGGACTGAACACTGTCTAGCTCTTTCAAGACTTTTCCAAACCAGGTACCTGCTCTAGGGAAATTTCCAGTCAGAGATGTGACACCTCAACAGTGCCTATTACATGAAACCTAGTGGAGTGGTTTAAGGAGAATCTCATTTAAGGAGAAGCTGCTACAATACGGCAAGGAGGCTTACTCACCATTGCTGGATAAAAGAGGATAAAAACAGCTGATCCTAGGAAGCCTGTTGGTCCTAGAATAATTACATTATAAACCATGCCTAAAATGGCAATAATGGGTCCTCCAGCCAACAAGCTGCCAACGGCAGCTGCTTCAAACATCCTCTGCCCGTCGTTGGAGCACAGGTTGATGAGCTACGAGACAGAGAGAGCAGTGAGAGGACCCTGCAAGGACACCGGCCCCTTGTCTCAGGAGGAAGATGGAAGGACAAAGCAGAGATCCAACATTAGGAACAAGCTCAAGCTGGGAGCTTTCTCCCTGCCCTGAAGCGAACACCCCTTACTCACCTCACCCACAGACTTCTCTTTAATGTTCTTTAGCTTAAGGATCTTCTTAAATGCCATGGTTAGGATGGCCCCCCGCAAGCGGACACCAGTTCGGTAATTCAACGCCCAAGTCAGCGCGAGAGACCAAGAGCGCACGACTTCCGTCAGGAGGAGGCCCAGGACTAACAGCAAGCTGTACTTTAGGTTAGAATCTGTGACCTGGGTGTATTCCAAGAGGTGTTTCACCACGAAGGCCTACAGGGAGAAACACATGCCGCTGTCAACATCTCCACGGCACCCACACACCACGCCACAGCTTTATGTTAAGTTAGAAAGAGGAAGCAGCTCCACTGCACAGGGCTACACGCATAAGCAGAGGAAGACCTTGAACGACCAAATAGGACTGACTACCCACCTGCGGATAGTTACTCAAGGCATTTCGCAGGTGGTAGGCCTCATCTGGATTTTTTTCTTCCTTAAGTACACCACCAAAACCGTTACTCTTTCTAATGTAACATAAACCTGTCCATGAGCTGAAATTAATTCTAAACACATGGTCATTAAAAAGGATATATTTGACCTGACTCCAGTATCTCCACACATTGATACATGTCTTTAAAGGAAATTAAGACCTTTTTTTTTTTTTTTTGGATCGTTTCAAACGTGCTTATTTGATAAAAAGGAACAGTGTACCTACAGTTGGACTGGGGAAGAGTGAGAAGTGCATTTGCAAAACATTCCTGAAAATAAACATCGGCAGTTTAATAGTACAGAAGAGAGCAAACAAAGCAGACTATCCAAAATCCAGAAACCCTCCCGTGGGCCCTCCCCACCCCCCACTCCCTCCCAAAAACAAAAACATGTTACCTCAGGTAGCATATGTCTAACACCACCTGCAGTGAGGGAAGGCAGCCAGCCCCCAAGAACCACCGAGTGCCACCTCCAGCTCTGAGGTCCTGCAACGCCGGAGCACACACTCACACAAGGCACATTCAGCAACAGGATTAAATACCAGGAAGTGGGAGGTAATGTACTTTTATTGAAAATGAAAAAATAAAATAAAATAAAAGTACCATCTTCAAAGAGCATCTCACAGACACTGTACAACAGAAGGAGCATTGCGGTAACATACATGGGAACATACAGAGTCGAGTTTTTACAAGGCTAGCCATCTAACAGGTCATCTGGCCTCCGACTGTTGTGTTCGCTACACACGGCGGAAATACAGAATAGAACCCACAGCTGTTTCCAGAGTCCGGAGGAGTACATCAAGCTGACAGCACTTAATCGATTAAGGCTCCTGAAGCTGCAGGGAGTCTGCAATGGAGTAGATTCTCCAGGAATAAGACCTTGCTGCTAAGGAAAGAGAATTAAAAAAAAAACAAAACTAAAGACTGCCCCCCAGAGGGAACTCGGCTTAAAAATCCCTGGGTGCTACTGGTTCAGCAGGCTGTGATGGAGGACTTCTGCTCAGGACAGAATACAAAAATCTAGGCCTCAAAGAAAAACGGGGCGGCATCCTTCAGAGTCTTTTTCTTTTTTTTTTTTCACAAGTCCTTGCAGCTAAAATCGATCTTGCCGAAAATGAAAGAAAACAAACCGCGACAAAAGAAAGCCAAACCGATCCCCCACCCTGAAGGAAGAAAAAAAAAAAAAAAGAACGAGAAACCCATCCACCCAGCTACCCCAGATCCTTATAGCACAGGGTACTTGTAGGTGGAAGCCAGCTCTGAATGACAGACAAAATGGAGGCCAGACACAATTGTCCTGAGGCAGCTAATGCTGAATTCCAGAACCCAGATGTTCTCTGGGTTAACTGGCATTTCTCATTTTTCCTGAAAAGAAGTTAATACCAGATGTCCGCTAGATCCTAAGAGATCCCCACCAGTGAGATTTCTGTCAAGTGTCAGTAAGTAACCTGATCAAATAAATAGGAGATTTCAGATCCCGAGAACTATTGTATTCCACCTCTCCCCTCCCTCAGATTTTTTAGGTTTATATCCATTGTTTGGGTCACCACTGCATACAGCTGGGTTGTTGGTTTACTAGCAAGAAGATTGGCTTCTTTTCCAGTATGCAATCCAAAATGTGGAACTGAGTCACTGAGTGGCAGGGTCAAAACCCCATTTTTCCTCACGTGAAGCAACTCAGTAAGATGGCAGTGCCGTAAAGCATTTTCTCACACACCTCGGCACCGATGGAACAGTCTCCAGAGGAAGGCGTGAAAGGACAGCAGGTTGTAGTTTGGGGCTCCTTCCTTCCCATACCTTTACAGTGCCATTTTTCAGCACTGGTTAATAGCATTTAGTACCTCCCGGAGGTGGGGAGCCGGGGGAAGGTAAAAGACATAATGAAGCTTACATTATGTAAAACTTTTGGAGGAGGGGGAAAAGAGGAAAGAGCAGATTAAAGAATTTCCAACACATAGGGTTCTTAAAAAAACAATTACATTTTAAACCATTTTTGTATGTATGGGATAAAGAAAAAAAAGTTTTCATGAAAAAAATCCAACCAAAATTTAGTTTTAAAAAGTTACAAACTTATCATTTAAACGTAAACAAACTGGGAGAAAAAACTTGAGAGATTGTCAGCATAGCTGTCTGGCTGTGGAAAGCATTCCCAGTGAATAAACATTACCTTACCTGAACTCTTGGCGAGAGATTCTGCCCAGCTTGACTCTCTCATTCTGACCGCAGAATACAGCCATCCTGAAAATTCTAAAGAACAGCTTCTGTCACTGGTTCCACTACAGAGAGACTCCCCCCAAATCCAGATCCTGACAGCATCAAGCAAGCTGCAGCTGGGGAGAGGTTGGGAGGGTGGGAAACTTACCTCTCTAGAGGCTATTCACTGCCCTTTCCCCCAAAAGGCCCTTGAACAGAGTTAGCATTCACCAAGATATAGCACCACAGGAGGTAGCCTTCTCCTGCAGATCTACAGGGTGGATGCTAATTCCTTACAGGAGAATCATAGGTCAAGCCTGGTCGTTTTAAATTGTTCAAATCCAGGAAGGCCACATAGCATCTCTGTATCTTTAGCAAGTCTGGCCACTCATCTTAGGTCAGGACCATACCCTTATCCTTTTTGGTACTCCATTAACACTACTGTGACCTCTGGGCACTCTGCATCACTGAAACTTTGGATCGTCCTGATGTACAGATGTCCGGCCAATTCAAAAATACACACGAACTTGGTCATTTTGTATATTCCGCATATGGCTACCAAGGTTCAGCGATGCCTGAGGGGAGGAAAGAAATATCCCCATATTTAGGAAGTCAGTTCTTACACAGATTTCCGTAAGAATAGACTAAGCCAGTTTGAAAGTTGTGCCATATTAGAAAATGTGCAAAAATCTAAAATGGGTGTTCCTTGAAAGGATTTAAATCCACACAGAACAGAAGGTATGCTCATTGCTAGCACTAATCTCAAAACCAGGCTGACTCTTCAATTTCCAATTAAAAAAGAAATTTATTTGAATTGGTACTCCAAAAAAAGAAGTTTGCTTTGCTTACAGTTTTAAATCTTTTCATCATTGAGAGAGACGATGGAGGGGACCATTGCTTTCTCAATTGTTCTAGGATGGGATCTCATGAAATAACAGAGGCCTTAAGTTGCTCTTCCCCAAGAGGGTAGAGAGAAGGAAAAGCGTGCTGCTGTTTTCCTCTTAAAGGAAGTCTCTCAGTATTCCCTGGCATCTAGAAGGGTTTACTAGGGCTAGCATTCCAGTATGCTGTACCTTAAGAGAGAGATGGAGAATATGCAGATGCTTAAGGGAGTGACTTAGGCCCCCAAACTGAACATGCATAGGTAGCTTTTTGTCCCAAATAAAAAATTAAAATCTCAACAACCTATGGTATACCCCCCGCCTTTTTTTGTGGGTTTTTTTGGTTTTTCTTTTCCTTTTTTTTTTTTTTTTTTTGGCATGGGAGGAGCCAATGAATTTCTTGCACTGGCCAAATGGAATGAAGAAACCCTATATACCTTGTTCCCCAGCTCAAAGAACGCTACGGAAGATCCAGAGCAGCCATCAGCCCTGTAGTGAAACAATGACAGAAGCTCTTCTTGGGGGAAGCTGGTCCTATGAAAATGTTTGCCACTTTGGTCAGGAACATAATATTCACTTACATGGTCTCTCTTAAAACTTATACAAAAGTGTGTTAGTTGGTCAATTCATATAGAAACCTAATACCAGAAAAGTAGTGTTCTCTGCTTCAGAAAAGAGATCAGAACTTTTAAGAAGGCATCAAACATTTAAAAAAACAAACAAACAAACAAACAACGACAAAAATAAAATAGGAAAACTGCAAATTAGTTTTACCTAATCACCATGCATCTTAGGCATATACTTACCAAGACCATGAACCTCCAGCTTACCCACACATGGAAAATGCACAGTATAAGTAGTACTACTGCTCCAATGCCTCAAGGCAAATATGCAGAGAATAGATTTAATCAAAGTCTCAAGTGTCAGGCAGCACAGCAGGTGTAAGAAACAGGTGTCCAGGAAACAGTGTGAACATCACTCTCTTACCTACTCTGCTTCAGTACACACTAGGAAAAAACCACGGCTGCCACCCCGACACCTGCCACACCATTTACACTACAAACCAAAACTTAAAAATAGACTCCAGGTTGGACTCTAAAAAAGCCTCAACACTCCTCGGGTTTCTTCAGGCTCCTTGGCCACAGAACCACGGACCACGTGACAACTCCGCCTCCGGGCGCACGTCACCAGCTCGAGCCCAGCCACTGCGCCATACCACACTGCTCTCACCCACTCACGGCACCACGAGACACCTCTCCCCAGACCAACACTGTCGTTCCACATCAACACACAGCAAAGAAGCACTGTCCTGCGCAGAGCCGGAATCATTCACTGTCACCCACCCCAGGAAAGCAAGCCGGTTTCTGGCTCTTCTCTGGCAACATGGCCCCTCATCGTTTCAGCTGCTGACAAGCCACCATTCACTCCAAAATCAACTGTTCCCTTTCACCAGGCCTAGAGGCATCTCTAAGGCTGCTAACTAGCCCACAGGTGAGCACTACCCCTGCAACAGAACAAGCGTGTTAGAGCTGGCCGTGGCCGGGCCCCTGGAGACTGTCAGAAAGGATGGTTAGAACTTACTGGTCCACTGAAGCCAGCCAGCTGCGTGATCATCAGGCACACGATGGAGAGGATGAGCCTGGTGCGGCAGAAGATCCACACAACCCTTCGGAGGGAAGCAGCGTCTGGCCCAACTTCATTCAGCTCTTCTTGCCACAGTCTCTCTAGTCTTAACAAGGGCACATGTCCTCTGTTACACGTCTGCCCAGGTGAACAGACACCCTAGATTCCCTCCTGCCATTGCTTTCTGTTTCCAGGCTTTGACACCACTTGCATGAGCCTCTTCTTTGAGCTATGTATGTGGACCTCACCTTCTGGGGGGAAAATACCCTTTCTGGGCAACTACATGTTTACCCTGCATAGGGAGCCTCTCCAGATATGGAAAATGATGAGAACTGAAGTCCTTCCTTCCACCCAGAAAAATTATCCCTGAATAGAATTCGTTTCTGACTAAGAACTTCCTTTCTCAAGGGCCCCCAACACTTTCTGAAGGATCCTGTGGTCAAATGTAAAGTTGCAAACTAGATTTTAGTCATGATAATCAGCTACCACAAAAATGTATTCTGTCACAAGGCAGCAACATAATTTCCCTGTAGACTCAGGAAGAGAAGCAGGGCTGAGAGAGAGAGAGAAAGCCCGTGGTTAAAACAGGATTAAAGGTGAAATAGGAGATAAAGCAGAAGAGCAAAGAGAAAGTCATTCCCAGGCTACCCTCCCTCCATAGGACAGCTCAGATCCTAAAAGAACACAGAGCTGAGGGCATCACACTGCCGGACCCCCCCCTCCTAGCTCAGGCCCTGTGCACCCAGTATATGGGAGACGAGGGTGGACCAGAGAAGCCTACCTTCTGCAGTTCACATCAGAAGACTCGTACTTGGACAAAGACCACACGTCTTCCATTGAGAGCTCCCCCTTCCTGTGGGCCATGCGGGCCAGAGGAGAAAGCCAAGAAAAAGTCATGCAGGAGAAGAGCCCAGCATTGTCCACTGGGTGCTGGTGTCTGAGGAGAGAAAACCCAAAGCACAAAATTGTCAATGCACAGAGAGGGGCTAGCTGGCATTTATGATACACTGTTTCATAAACCGAGCTCCTGACTAAAAATGGGTCTTCCCAAATGATCTAATCTTAGTCCAAATTTTCAAAAATGCTTCTGGTGCTTCACAGACAAGCCATTAGCCGGCAGAGCCGCTTACTTGGAAGTGGTCCGGATGGGCTTCAGAGCACTTAAGCTATGATGGTACTTTCCCTTGGGATGTTCCTCATCCAGGATTCTGAGCTGAGAATGCATGGAGGCATCCAGGGAAAGGCCCTCAGCTCGGGCTGCTGTTTCCAAGGCATCTTGGCATTCCAACTGTTTCAAAAGAGAAAGAGAGAAGAGGCGAAAGCACAATTAATGAACATCAGAAAAACAGAGGGGAAAATCAACCTGACGGAACAGCTCAAACTGCAAACCAGATTCGTCTTACCTGAGAAATCCCAAGGGTCAGGGTAAACACAAACTTGTACAGTAAGAACTTGCTTAAGTGACATTCAACCAGTTACTTAAAACTTCTAAACTCTTGAGCACTTTTAGGTTCAGAAAAATTGAACAAAAAGCACACAGAGTTCCCATATACCTTCTCATCTCTCTATCTCTTCCCCATCTGTTTCCCTCATTAGCGCATCTTGCATGAGGGTGGGACATTTGTTACAACTGACGAACCAATATCGATATGTTACTATTGACTAAAATCCACAGTTTACATTACATAAAATACACAGCTCACTCTTTGTGTTGTACCTTCTAAGACATATGTCTCTATCACCAAAATGTTTTCTCTTACATTTCCCAATGTGGACTGAGCGTCAATCATTTCACTACTAACTGCAAATCCTACTGCCCATTTTCTATGACGAAAACTTCACAATAATCCCCAATTATCAGCTCTATCACACAGAAAAGCCAGTATGTGCATGTCTCCCCCCTTCTCTCCCTTATCAGCAGCAGGGAGAGCACAACAGGGGCTCTCACCCTGGCTGCACGGCTGAAGAGCTCCAATATCCAGATGTCTGCAGCACAAAGCACAAGGTCTCACGTGCTGAAATACAGAGTTAACCATACTTACCATTAAGCTTATAAATACCAGTTAATCACATTAACAAAAAGGTTTATCACTCAAAGTCTAAATGAGGCAGAAGAGGGTGAGCCAAGAATCTGAACACCTCTAACCCTATTTACTTTAAAAGTAACTCAAAGTGTACCCCTTCCTGTTGCTGAAACAGAGGCATTTTTTTCCTCAGATAAGGATAATAAGTATATCCTTTTCTCACATTATCACAAAGATTTCCAGCAATGACTGTGAAATAGCAAGAAAGAATAGATCCCCAAATCAAGAAAAAGTTTAAGTGGTGCGGCACCGACCACACTGTCTTACACAAGGCAGAGTCTGTTTTTAGGCACCACCTCATTCCCACACAGAACAGAGGCCATTCAGATATTAGCGGAAATGAATTCGTGCATGGAGGTACCTGGATGTCTAGGCGGCTCTCTCTTCAAATGCAATAGCTTTAGTTCACAACACAGTTATGCATCTTCAGATAAGATAAGGTACTGCTAAGTATCAGGAAAGTACACAGCCTGGGCAACTGGGAAACACATTTTTGTTCTTTTGAGAAAGACAAGGTAGAGCAGTTTCAAGAGAGTAAGAACACAACGTGACAAATAAGTCAATACCAAGAATTAACTCTTTCATAAAGTCCTTAGGTATAAGGTAGACACTTATTTTGTGGTTAGGGATTGTGGTACCTAGTAATGAACTAAAGGCTACTGAGAGTCAAGTACGCAACAAAGGTAGGGTTTTTTGGTTTTTGTTTTGGTTTGGTTTTTGAACCTATAAGCTGCCTATAATCACTAGGAGAAAAAAACCAATGAGTTAAGAAAGGAGAAAGATACACTAAAAATACAAAATACCTACTATAAGGAAGTAGAAACTGGGAATATGTAGAGAGTAGGTATGGAATATTGTAAGGACCACCCTTACTTGAATATCCAAAGCTTCAGAAGAAGGCAAAAATTAAAATAATATTACTTCAAGTACACATTGGCTATCTGCCAAAATGGACTATATGCTGGGCTTAAAGCAAACCTCAACAAATTTCAAAAGACTGACATCATGGGGCATATGTACACTGACCACTTTGGAAGTCAAGTCAAATTCAGTAACAAAGATAGCAAGAAAATCTCCAAATATTTAGAAATTATGCAGGGGTCCCTGGGTGGCTCAGTCGGTTGGGTGGTCGGCTCTTGATTTCTGCTCAGGTCATGATCTCAGGGTCCTGAGATCAAGCCTTGTGTCAGTCTCCAAGCTCAGCAGGGAGTGGGCATGAGGATTCTCTCTCTCCCTTCTCTCTGCCCCTTCCCCCTGCTCAATCTCTCAAATGAATAAATAAATCTTTTTAAAAAATTATACAACATACTTATAAATAACATAAATTAGAGAAGATGTCAAATGGAAATTAGCAAACATTCTGAACTAAATGGTAAGAAATTATTGCACACCAAAGTTTGTAGGATACGACTAAAGCAGAACACAGAGATTGTGAATTCTTCAAAATCATGTATTAAAAAAGAAGAAAAAGTGGGCGCCTGGCTGGCTCAGTGGGTTGAAGCCTCTGCCTTCGGCTCAGGTCATGGTCTCAGGGTCCTGGGATCGAGCCCCGCATCAGGCTCTCTGCTTCGCAGGGAGCCTGCTTCCTCCTCTCTCTCTCTGCCTACTTGTGATCTCTGTCTGTCAAATGGGTGGATAAAGTCTTTAAAAAAAAAAAAGAAGAAAAAGTGAAAAAAAATCAATGCTCTAAGCTAGGGGTTGGCAAAATTTTCTGTAAAGGACCAGACAGTAAATATTTTAGGTTTTGTGGGCCATGAGGCAAAATTGAGGATAATTACGTAAATACTTATATTACAAAATAAAACAAATTTCCACAAAATGTTTATTAACCAAGTTCAAAATATAGTAATAATTGAGTACATTTTTTGGTAATACAGATCTACTAATGAGAAGAATGGAGGAATAACATTTCACTTAATGGGGTTTAAAGTAGTTTTCCCTTGAATTAAAATTGATCAAAATCTTCATCTCTTAATGGCTGATTTGTAATGAGCTCTTATAATTTCATCTTTGAAAATGTTTTTTCATACAGACACGTACAGCTAAGTACTGAAAATCAATCCATGAATACATGATTTTAGTTGAGCATATTTATCTTTTGGAAGGCATGAGAATTCCATTAGACTTTTCTCTTGACGTTTGCTTTTATTATGTTATTACATCAGATTAATCACTTCTAATTGAAAGCTAGGTAGAAGCTTCTAAAAGACATAATTAAACGGAATTGTTTATTGTGGTAAAATACATATTAAAGCTGCCATCTTGACCACTTTTAAGTGTACAACTCAG